CACAAATCTTTATTTTTCTTTGTTCATGTGAGGGAGCGGGCCTCCCGCGGAGTGCTGATGATGAGTTATGAGGAGCATACCCCGGAACACGGAAGTCGCCCTAGACGCCTGTGCCATCCCGGCCCACTTCCGATACCAATCGGCAGGCTTTAGCTGATATTTCATTATTCATTGATGTCACCATTATATGGCTTGGTTATTTTGATCGTACTTCAATGATCAAACTATTCTTATATACTTATAAAAATATGGTTACTTCTTACAATAAGTATGAACAAAAATACGTTGAAATGAAATCTTGTTGTATTGCACACTGTAGCTGTTCAAATATTTACTCAAGTCAAACCGCGGTACATCGGCTCATTGACTATTTAAGACCTTAGGTTCATAAGTGCGTGTACACACGGACGGGTATATTTGGCGCGTGTCAGCGATATTTGGGTGTAGCAATACTCATAAATAACTCGAATAACAATGCGTGGACGAGACGGGCACGTGGCGACGCCGCGACGACCGCTCCCTTGTAATGTGTAATTATTTTCACTTATTAAATGTGGTAGTGAATTTGATTTGCTTTTTTGACACTTTGATTTAAACAAAAGAAAATATGTTAGGCTTATACACTGTTTCAAATAAACCAATTTCTGTCTTATAATAATATGAAACTAATATGCTCATTTGGATATGTAATTTTAAAAAACAATAAAATTGCGAAGTATGTAATCCAAAAAATATTAATTTAGTTTAAGATTTAAATGAATACTCGCGAAAGTCTTGAATCTAACTATTTCTTCCTATGATTGTTTTTAAATAATGTATACACGTTTATTATAACATCATATTGTAGAGAACAATTTTTAATGTGTAGATATTGGCACCGGCAATGGCAACGATTCCAAATGTCCGGAAACTCAGTAATTCCGACTGGCAATCGTAATTTTCACTCCAAGGAGATCAACTATTCGTATTTTTTATCTGTGCCAAAAAATTTAAGCTTGCATGCCACTTTTTTGAGCATTTTTCTATGTAGAAGATATAAAAAGTTTTGGGAATACAAAAAATAGATTAAGTTAGGGATGAAAAATATTATGTAAAATGATTTTTAAGAATTCTTTTTATTTTAGTAGTCATATCGAAGTAAAATTAAAATTATTTCAAAACTTAATTTTCTCAAATTTTAGGAACTGTTAAGTGGTCATAGTGTCAATAGTTCAAATCTTTATATATAAAGGAAAATCGTGTTAATTATAATTCAAGAACGTCTGTACGGGTTTGTCTGAAAATTGGCTGAACAAGGGAAAGGACATGGGATACTTATCAACCGATTGAAAAAAAATACCCTCTTTAAGGAGGATTAGAGTTCACCTGGTCAGCTATACATTTCTAATTCTGAAACTAACGAAGACGATGTCACGGACAAAAACTAGTAATTACATTTTTAACTAGTAGAAAGTAAAACATATCAATTATCTAAAAATTCAAAGCAGAAAAAAAATGATTTTATCTCACACAAATCCAATATAAATATTATGGTTCATATGATGGGGACTCACCCCTTACGCTAAGTTAAACAGTGCAAATAAGTATTGAAAGTAATTTAATGATCTCGCAATGATTCAGAGAAATTTAACGCGGGGAGGAATGATAAAAAAAATCTATAAAAACCACCCTTTATAGAAGACGCGATAAAAAAACACAATACATATATGTATAAATATATGTTTCAAGTAAGATAAATTTAATGAAAGTAAAGAAAAAGTTACGACGAGGATGGGATTCGAACCCACGCGTGCAGAGCACATTGGATTAGCAGTCCAACGCCTTAACCACTCGGCCACCTCGTCATGCAACTACCGAGCGAAATACATTTATATTTATTTGATGCATCTTCCTATTATCATTATATTGTTATTATCAATATTTTATAAATATTATTTCGATAATTTACCTTAAATATTATAAAACGGAACATACAAATATATCTAAAGATTTCAAAACATAGCATACACTAGTAATAATCATATACATATTATATTAGCATTTAGCACATACGTAATAATTACTATTTACTCGTGTCTTCGCAATGATGCGATAAATGTTTTTTTTAATTTAATATTACGTACATTACGAGGAAAACTAACATAAGATAAGCATTTCAAACTTTAAGATTAAATTGAAAAAGAATTGCTGGAACTTCTTCGTACAGACTTGTGCTAAATTTGCTTGTTACAACTTTTTAGATTTGAATAAAAGTTTAGACTTGTAGTTATAATTATGTAATATACATATAGCTCTAAAAATAAGCTACCTTTAGTTTCAAATCTCCATATTATGAACAATTAACAGAGCTATTAAAATAAAGACATATTTTTAGACATGAACCTACATTAATGAGCTCTTAGTAAAAAAACGAATCACGATTGTATCTATGAGTACCAGAACTAATTATCTTATGTCGTTTCCGTGATTTAACTGATTGTGGATAAAGAGGGTTATGTTAAGTGAAGCATTATTTAATTAACTTAAAATTTAACCACTAATTTAACGGTCTATGTTACTTTTTCATATATTTTGGTTGCTTTTTTTCTCGATCAATTCATAATTATAAAAAAAACTTTGGCTTTTGTAGATAAGAGACTAAAGTTTTTTTTTGCTAAACAATCTACTAGTAATTTTTTGTCTTGATCAATTTAGTGTTATATATGATTATATTTTTGTAATAATATTTATAAGTAAATTCGTTAATAATTATATTTAGTAATTCAAAAAACTTTTACATAATACATTGTACAAATTTTTATACACGTAAAATTTTGTATCTTTGCATTCGTATCGTTTAGACAAAAGTACAAAAATTATTTAAATTTAATTACATATATGTACTTCAGAAAGTGTTACATTTTTAATGATAAGTTAGTTTCAAAGGACACGTTGTACTAAGTAAAATTCTAATCTTGTAAAATAACATTAAAACCTACACGGAACCCAATGGGGCTGTTTCCGTAGACTATCAATACAAGTACATTATTACTCGCAGCATCATACATTATGTGTTATTAAACTTAACATTTTATAACACAAGGAACTGACAAATAAATAGCAGCCAACAAAACAGACGATTATGCAAAGACAACAAAAAAGAGAAATTGTTTAAAATTATATATTATGGCAATAAAAAAAAATAACAAAAAGTTGAATTACAATAATGTACTTACGGATATGTTCAATAAATTTAATTGTTTTTTTTTTTTTTGTAATTGACACAAAATTATGTATATATGACTTGAAATATATAATAATAAAATATTTTGATTCATACAAAGTGTTTCTCGTGTATTTAAGATGAATTTTAATGAAGATTTTTCCTCAGATATAACCGGTCATAATGTTTCTGTTCAACAAACCTGTGATCAAGATTTTCATTTGAAAGTTAATACTATTGTTCAAAGATGTTGTTAGAAAAATAAAAGAAAATTTTAGGACTTCTTTGTTGACGAAACGTAACTGTCAAAGTCTTTTTGACATTAATAGAGTAAAACAACACATCACATACAGCCGAAGTCGAGACCGTTTCTAAAACTATAGGATTTAATATCAAATTGCATTGATTAACTGCATAATGCCAATTTGAACTTAGGTAATAATTTTCTTACATTATATAAACTTAGAAATAAGCATTTATCTGAAAGGAAATTTAAAATAACCGTTACTACTAAGACTGTGTTTAATAAACCCAAGATGTCAAAAAATAAGGTTGCCATATAAAAATAAAAAAAAGAGAATCAAATTTATTTTAAAACATTCGGTAGGTAATTTTTACAATCTTTTAAGTTGAACATCTCACGATAAGACGTAGGTGAGTTGTTTAAGATCATATCTTTATGAATTGTATCTTTAGAATTAACATACGAATATATTTTTATAGCTATATTATATGTTATGGTGATTTAAAAGAAAATAACATATTTTATGTTATCAATTAGTTAGACTTATCTAATCACGCCACTCGTTTGATTACTGATTAAGTGCTGTTAAACAAATTGTTATGTATGTATTTCATTGATAAAGCTATAAAACAAAAATATAAAAATTTTTATATGTATGGATATCAAATTTATCGGAACGACAATTATCGATTAATGCTTTAGTTTAATAAACTAAATAAAAAAAAAATTACAGTTTTTATGACGTTCAGAAAGTAATAACTCATTCTTATATTCTAGTCACTAAGAACTTTTGTTAATTATTTCCAATTATATGTTCTGCAAGTGTTTTATTATCATTTCTATATCAAATATTAATATTAAATACATTCAAAAAAACGTTCAGCAAAATAAACAAATGATCCAAGGCGCCAGTGACGCTTACCTTCGCCTGAATATGACAAATAACATCAAAAACGAAACTACATGGGTACCAACATAAAATAAAAATGTCAAAAATTTAAATTAAGGATTAAAATATTTAAATTTAGTACGCGCGTCCCGCTCGGAGCCAGCCCGGCCGGGACACTGGCGTGGAGACGGATAATGCCAACATTAATATATTATAGTAACATTATTATTTAAAAAAAATACAAGTATTACTAATACATATATGACAATTAAATATTAATTTTATTTTTTTATTACTATGTATTGTTCTTTTATGAATGAATAGATCCATAAATAAAATTCCATATTAAAAATACCTATACTTTTTATATACTGAATTTAATATTATTGAAGCTATGTCAATTTTGTATGTCAATTATTAAAATTATTTGTAAGCTCTCAAACTATATTATGGAAAACGAAACACGAATAAGTCGACTCCATACAAATTCAACACGTCCAAATACTATAAATTAATGGAGTGTACTCCGCCAGAAATTTTAAATATTTGAAAGCATTAAATACAGTTAGAAAAAAAAAACATACAACATAATATATTACATAAAATAAATAATACAATATAAAGTAGTTATAAATGTAGTGTTTATAAAACGTAATTGTGGTTTTATGGGCCATATATCGTTGAGTGACGCGCATCACTGGCTCGGGACGGGGCGGGACGGGAAACGGGACGGGACACGGGACACGGGACGGGACGAGATTGAACGGGACGGGTCTATTAGAGATGAGCACAGTGATTTGTTTTAATTATAAAGCATCCGATACTAAATATGTATTAAACATGTTTGTTTTGTTGATTGCGTTGGAACTATTTATAATAAAAAAAACTACTGAGGAGTCATTTTAAATTAAACGAAAATACTTACATAGCTTAGGTAACACTTTTATATATTTTGCGTTAAATTACAACATTTTAATATGTGACATCAATATATTCTATTCACTATGATTATAAATGATTCTATAAAGTCTATGATTCAAAACAACATCATATATAAATATGATATAAAACTTTATACTGGGTAATAAAAAAAAACATAAAATTTATAAAAAGAACACAGATAAACAAATAATCCTTTGTCTGATACAATTTAAGGCACGGCTATTAAATTCATATCTTGCATGAGTACAGTCCTTCTACACTACACTGTACAGGGTAGACGTGTATATTATTCGCAGGTAGCGCCCTCTGCCGGTGACAGCTTATAATTCGCCCCTACCCCTGTACTTGTATGTAGCCGACAGCCGACCTTTGTGCACTAATCGCAACTACATTGATACCTGTTTCTGACACCCCGCAAAAATGAGAAAACGCAATTTTCTTTTGACGTACACATTAGAGACGGGATTGAACGATATTCGGACGTAGCGACTCTGTACGGAGTATTTTATATTTTTTTTAATTATCTAAACAATGACAGGGATTGTTGTAACCAGATTGATCGACACTGTAAACTGATTAAAAAAAATTAGTGCGTAATATGAATGAGTGTGAAAATTTTCGGCCAGTATTTAGAAGATTAAAAAAGAAACTTTCATAAATAAACACTGTTATAATAACAATTAACTCTTGCATAATCTGTGCTTTGTCTTGTAAATAAAATAATGACACTTGATCTTTATAATCTGTGGTTTTAAAAATGCTATCGTCTAGACGTAGTTTAATCTGTTTACCTTAGTATTCTCAATTATCTGGCCGTGAATGTCTGGTGAAAGGGAAAGCCAGTTTGGTGACCGTGTATCGATTGCCACGCCCACCCGCGGAGCGTTGCCAGGCAACCGCCCGCCCTGGGATGACGTCTTGGAATGTTTCCAGAATCCAAACCTATACGATATTTGCGATCTCATTTGTACTGATAAGAAAATAGAATAATAACCATTCTAGTGATTGGCGAACTCTTTTAGAAATTTTTTAAAAAGTAATTAAGATTGAACATATTATGTTAAAAGGTTATCCATTTTTATTATTTTTTAATTAAACATTGGATGTATGCTAATGATTTTTATGCTCATTAAGTCTCATAATAAATAATTAAGAAACACTGATAATTAAATGGCTGTGACATAAATATTATAAAATTAACTAAACTGACTGAATGACAGATAAAATATAAGAATTTTTTTACTCTGTTGAGGTTTTCATAGACTTACCATAACTTTGGGGCCACCTTTTTTTTTGCCATCCAACCATTTATTTTTCAATATATACGCTATCTGTATACAAATAGTCAAAAAATAATTGTAATTTGACAACCATGAAATTTCGTATGTGTTACATTATGTATGAAACAAATCTATTTTTAAATAAATTACATATGGCTAGATTCTGTACTGAATTTTCATTTTAATTATAAGAACAATTTATATTATTTAAATTACTTCCTCATATTTCCTTTGATCCTGTGCCTCTGATGTTGCTTGAATTTCCAATAAGAAACGCCTGTAAGGATTCCGTTACGTTTTTTTCTTATTTTCAGCGGTTTTAAATGTCAGATAAAAGGCTTTTTAATTTTGAATATAAAGCTTCCTTTACGGAAATCTCATTTCTTTCTCATATTAATGAAAGATTAATAAAATTCGAGGTAAAGTTTGCAAGATTTGTCCAACATAGATGAACTTACTCAAAAACATAAGGTACCTCTTTATAATGTTTAGGTTTTATACAAAGACTTTATTTACGCTTCTACGAATTAAAATATTCCTTCATGATAAGATATATTATGAGATATATTATATAATAAAAATTTACGAAAGATATCAGTATATTCTTAAAAAGTTTTAATGCAAAATTATATCATACGATAATATATATAATGAAGCGCCTGCCCAAAAACAAAAGCAACAATCATCATTTAATTTGTAGTATTTAGTTCATATTCACATATAATGTTATAAATAATATAACTCTTCCATATATTGTAATATTTAATATTAATAAAATATAAAACAGCCATAAAACAAGTGCAGCGTGTGAGTTTACATTTTATAAACAATGATACGGCCGTTATAATTTATAACTTTAGTTTTAAAAATATTTTCAGTGCCGCATTAAACAAACTACATTTACATATATATAACATTTATAACATTTCTGTCATAAAAACTTTTAATGACGTAAAAAGTAGGAGCCATTATAACCCCGAACCAAGTGTTATTTACGAGCTTTTTATCAGAAATGGCCGTCTTTTGTCGCAGCCGAAGATATTTTTTTTTATTATTAAAAACAATGTTAAGACCAAAACGTCTATTTGATTTCACAAACCGCCTTTGCGGATTTCTTTGTAGATTCTATCTTTATGGATTTCCATCGTTTAGATCGAAGAGATTATTTTTTTTTATATTTATGACACAAACGATTATTAGCCAATATCTTTCTTCGGATACGAGATGTCATTAAAATTAAATGATTTGTAAAACATACATTGTCAGCATGTAATTTTATAGGTATATATATACATATGTATGTACAAGTTTTAAGGTTAAATAAAATCTCTTTTTAAACAAAGGATACTTTATTTTAACTAAAACAATATAAATAATTAAATAACATAGTATATGTGCTAATTAAATAACATAGTATATGTGCAGATACGTACCTATATAAGAACAATTATTATCAACAAAATATTACACATATTAAAATATCTTCTTATTTTATTCTTCAAACCAAAACTTATTCCCTTATTAAGATTAACAAACAACATAATAGGGTTACAGTAAACATAAAAAAACGTAGATAAAATCTAAAATCAAACTTTCTTAGATGAAATATGTTACACCTATCATATTAAAATTATAACCTATAATTTAATTTTAGAAACGGCTGACATAAAAACTTAACGTTGGGTGTTGTCAGGTGAAAAAAACTGGTCGCGCATTCGTTTATTTTTTTTTTTTTCATTATTTAACCCACGGTATAGTCCAGGATAGATAAATGAATGGCATTCTGGGAAATCGTACAATATTTTATAGTTACTACTGAGTTTAAACTAGAAGGATTTTTTATTAATATTTTTAATGCCAATATAACTCGATATTCTATAGAATGTTTCAAGATAATTCAAATTCAATTGTCATTATGTTTATTAGTTATGTCGAACTCATAGATATTGCATGCCGTCAAGATATAAAGATTATAAGAAATTTATATCTATAAATATGTAAGAAAATTGTACTAGGTACCTACACAATTTGTAACTCAATAATGTCTTTACGGATTTTTTTAGAAAATAAGCAGAAAAAGAAAATTAAGTTGAACTTAATATAATCGAAAATCTGCTCTATTTATGTCAGTCATGTCAGAGATTTTAAATTCTAAATTTGACGCGGATGAAGTCGCAGGTTAAAGCTAGTATTTTTATATAGTGTAGGCAACAATACCGTTAACATAACATGTATTCATAATAATATGTGATATATAATTATATTATATAACTATTTTTACATTTAAAATCATTATTATACCAAGAGTAATCTAAATATAAAACCTATTTTTGGAGAATTGTTTTTCAATGCAATAATTTATGCATGTTATTCTCCATATTTTCCCACGTCGCGTCGGACGCCATGACAGATGGCTCTCATGACAGCATTCAGACCCAGATTGATCTTCATATATAGATTTGCTAGTAGTAAACCTGATAATGTTACAGGTTACTCATTATCTTAAAGAAATTATATTAAAATACTTTTTTTTTTTGTAAATGTTTTTACGGCTCTGGACATGAGTCCTTTTGAGCCTTATCGTTACAAGATTAAAATATTTTTTCCAATAATGTTACCATATGAAAGAACTATTTTGGTCAATTATGTGATGTCAATGTAATATATTTATAATTTATATCATCTCTATATTGAATCACCGTTATATCCATTAACAGGTGATGTTTTGGAGTACAACAAAAGCGTTGAGGTCCATTCCAACAATAGCTGCTCGATCTACAAGTCGGCGCAACAGATGCAACAATACAGCCTGGAATGATTAATCGAACGGAACAACAAACGATTTACATGTAAAAATATAAAAAAATAATAACAAATGAAACAAAACATTTCGCCTTTTGTTTATTGCGACGACGCCAACTTGTCTGCACAAAACCGATTCGAATTTCAAACGACGATCATTAATTATATTTTGTCTTACTCACGCATTCCATTTTCAAAGATGATCTATAGATCCGATCTACGGGTCTATCGATCACCTCTTTGGAATCAAAATATATTCATTTGGTCGCATGTTTTTGCAGATGATTTTGTGGGTGCTCAGGTATTAACTGATGTTCCACATTAATTTTTTTTTTATGCAATCATATAAAAAATATATATCCTACAAGTCATTAGTACATTTTTTTATATTAATAATATCTAATTTTAAATAATACCTTATAATAATCCAAGCTCGTGCTTGGCACTTTGGTTCTTCGTAGGAAAAGACTTTATCAAAGATATCTAATTATCTGTAAACAATATTTCATCTTCAGACGACGGCATGACGCGAGACAAAAAAGAAAAGGTCGAAATAACCGCGCCAAAACCTAAACGCTCCAAAACAAATAAAATTAAACAAAAATGATGTTTTTTAATAAGCTAGATGACATTTGGGAATTTGAAGAATGTATCCTAAGTATTATTAATAGCGCCCATGGAATGGGTTCTTTACGATTATTAAAATGAGAAGACAACAATTACTTACCTACCCCAAGCGGACTCCATCAATTAAGTGGACTGTTTCCAATACATAACTAAATAAATGATTGTTTTATTTGTCTTACACGGACTTTTATAAACGTTATTCGACGGGTCTTGTTTCGTCCGAGTATTGCTTCTCCGTAACAAGCCTCGGATGGCGTGATAGCAAATAATTTTATAAGGGCTTTAACAATATGTCAAGCCCATTCGTATTCACTTTTTTCTCGCTTTCAATAAATAATACGTTGGGTTATAAGTTTACATTGTTCGTTTTAGAGATTCAGCTCCGGCCTTTGGGACGATATTTCACAAAAATTTGGTTTATTTTCACAAAAAAACTTATATATACGTGTTCACAATGCCGATGCTTTATGCGTTTCGAATATGCATTTGTTATTATGGTAGAATGATGTGATTATTGTTTTGCGAGGTTTTAGGATGACTGATGGTTGATTGTCACGGATAATGAAGTATTTTGGAGCCTTTAAATTTGATGCCTTGAGGGAGCACGAAGTGAAACATCGATTAGACCCACTGATTGATAGTAGGTCGTCGTTATACTTAAACATATTTATATAACATAATTTTTCATTGTTTCAAAATCATGATAAACTGTTAAGTATAAAATATTTTTATATTATAATTTAAATTGCAACAAAACTTCATGATTATAAATGACGGAGGTGCAATAAATTAATTATGACAAAAAATATATATTGGATGCAACAAAAAGCATTTAATTAGGTATTCGGTACCTAAAGACGTTCTGTTTTGAACATCGGTACAATGTATCGATCTTTCAAACTTGTATCGGCACAATGCGAACAAATTAATAATCCACGCCTATTAAGTATACGTAATTTTAATTTGGACTATTGGCTGGTTCGATACGCTCTTTTATGAATGCCGATTTTTTTGGTCTATTTGTCCGATTTGTATTGTAATTGCTGTAGCTCGTGTCGATCTCTTTGATTGTGATTCGACCCAATAACATTTGGACGCGGAACTTTATAAGGAATGTTTTGCTATTGTACATTAAAACTTATCAGTTCATAATTGGTATTATATTCGTGTAATATGTTTTTTTGTTTAAGGTCATACTTTTACAGATAATATATCTGAGCCAGTTTTTGATAAGGTAACCTATGACCGGTGATTTAAGTATCACAAACAGCTGCAAATAGTCAAACAAAAGTCTTCAATAGAATAGGAATAAATACGACTTCAATTTTTTTATCGAACAATATTCAAAAGCAACGCTTCATAAAATTGTCACATTAATTCAGAAATGAAATCTTTAGCATAATATTAATCATGGTTAGTCATGTTTGATTAGGGTCCGAAATTAGGTTTTTGGGGTAAAAAAATAAAAAAAGGTTCGAATTTTAGTAGGCGGAACTACTCCTCCCCTGATAACCAACCCGCTTATTATCCACTTAACCGAATCACTTCTGTACGAAATAATTTATTGGACCCTGAAGCATTTTTAAACACTCGATTAATTTACAGGAAAAAAAACTTTTATATTAATTCGACAAAAGTATATTGATTTACAACACACAGAAAACAAATATTACAGATGTTCACTTATATTTATTAATCGATTTTTTTTTATTGCAGGTGTTACAAAAATTACACCTGTATTTGACACGTTTTAATAAATCTCCAGTGGATACTTCAAAGTGTGTAGGTATAGGTATTTTTCGTGACTTTCTAATAGTACATAATATACAAGTAGATGCTTCACGTAGTACAAACACTTACCACAAGTTTCACACCGTGAACGACATACGTATATACGAAGACTTTCGTTTCATACTAAATAGTCTACGTTAATATTATAATATGAGAAATCTATATGTAAATAATAAACTGGAATCATCCCGTATGTGAAGTGATGATGCAAACGCGTATTAAGTTTGCTTTATCAGAACAAATACGGCTTTGTTTTTGAGATATCGAAATAACAAACATGTAAAGTCACTAAAAGAATATTTTTTATTGAAAAAGGAGTATAACATGTACATTGTCAATAGTAAGAAACTTTTGAACGAGAATATGGTACAATTATTTTATTATAATAACAAAACAAACAAATATTTAACACAGTTTTAGTATAACCATTCCCTAATCTGTCAAAATGAGGTTTCCCAATATTCCCTAAACAATAGTCGTAAATGACTTGTACCAAACACTTCGCTAGGGACTACAATTAAATTACAGGAAGGGTTCAGTACTCCCCAGAGTCCTAAGATGTGTTACTCTTTATTGAATCACTGTCAACTTGTGGGAATTGTTTATATACAAGTTATTTGTATGACTCTCTTAACAGATTTGTAAAATAACACACATATGACTGTATATGCTTTTAAAGATGTCTTCCGCCAATCACAGTCCAGTCTCTTCAATTGCTGAAATATCGCTTACTATAACTTTAATTTAAAATGTATTTATATGTATTTTAACATTATTAATATAAGCATCCCCTTCCAACTAACATATTATATTAAATTAAATTGTCTTTGTTTAATGTCAGGGGTCGCGATATTGGTTAGTCAGGTTTAGCTCTTCAAATCCTTTAAATCAAAAAATAATCAACATTTTTATTCAACAGTAAATCTTGAATGCTAATAAAGTCGCTTAACCATTCACCCTTGATGTAATCAACGTCTAATTTTGTATTCGCAGCTTACTATAATGATTAACGACAAACTTTATTAATTCGATCTGCTTGGATTATAGGATGCCACGCATTGGAGGGTTGGAGGAGGAAAAAACAAACGAATATTGCAAGGGATACCTCCGGGGACTATTTGAAAACAGGGCTGTTAGCTGGTAGTTATTAAGATTGTTCATACATAAATCGAAACAATACAAACATAATAAATATATATTTACATGGCAAAGTAGAATTTATAGTCTTAATATTTTCATATTTATTATCTTTGCAATATCTGAAGTGATAATTCTTAAGCTACTCTAAAGATAAGTCTATTCGATGTATTTCAATCGCACAACAAACACTACATGATTCGATGTTAACACAACGCTCGTTGATGTTACTATTGTATTATCATATATCTTAAAATAAATATCTGATATCGAAAAAGATAATGCTAGAAACATAATCGTTGTAACAATTCGATTACTTAAAATTAACTCCAAACGGCGACTTCTATACAAAAATAATAATAATATTAGTTCTATAAGCACCGCTTAATATATATACAACTACAATTTTTCTCATTACGAACAGAAGTAATTTCTGTTTAAATGTATTTATAAATAATGTCCTTATCAACCCTAGCGTATTAAATCTGTATGTCAACATGAACTTTATTGGCTGCGTCGAGGGATGCAGATATTTTTTGATAAACCTCTTTAACACCAGCTAGCGTGATCATTGTTAACTAGAGATGTCACTTATCTTTATTTAATTTAACCAAATACAGTGTAAACTCTATATAACGACACTGAAGGGACCGTGCATTTTAGTGCGTTATAGAGAGTTGCCGTTAAATAGAGGGAAGAAAAAGTAGAATTACAAAAAGACAAAGTTTGTTTCAGACTACTGTTAGTACTTATGTACATAAAAAAGAATGTTATAAAGTCTGTTGTTTTTGTTTGACGTGTTTTGCTGCACCAGTAATGTTGTTGTATTTTTTACGTATTTTATTCATATCTTGCGATATTGAGGCATATTGGTGAAGAACGAATTTCTTAGAAAGTTTGGTATGCATGATTACGACAGTGGAGTTTATTGCGGGCTAGGATAACAAAGCGACAAAAAAACGTACACAGCTGCGCATTTTTTACTAATTTTAGCAACTTAAAGGGTACTTTTTATTACTTAATTTTGTCGTTATTGAGAGTGGGTGTGTCGCTATATAGAGTGTGTCATTGTATGGTAGACAAGCTAAACCAACCAAAGTCAAATGATTTCGTCGCTTTAGAGAGTTTGTCGTTAAATCGAGTGTCGTTATATGGAGTTTACACTGTATTTTATTTTTACTTAATTTAAACCATTTATGTTAAAAGTAATAACTAACTATTTTTATAGAATAAGAGGTTTAAATTATAATACTTCTCTACTAAAAAAAATATAAATTACTGTAGAATATATAACAGCCACCACCTTGAAAACTATTTTGAAATTACTTTTCCTTAAGGTTTTCCCACTCTTAATTTATTTCAAACGTTTAAACATTTTTTACCGTTGAATGTTTCTATCGTAAAATAACATGGTTTTCACAAATAAAGTACCTTTTATGTGTACAATACTCTTTACTTTCAGTACAGGTTTAGAGAGTCGTTTTAACACCAAATTAATTTCCAAGATGTTATTATAAAAAGGTTGTTAGAAGTGAATATTAAAACTATTCAAACTTCTAGTCAACATTTGTATTATCAACAGATAAAACAAAAATGTTATATTATTTAATATGATATTCACGCAATTATTATGTTTATCACATTTTTTTCACTCCTGTCCCACGCAAAATATTATCAATCAAAGACGAATGGTTGGTATTAAACAATCACTTGCCTTAGTACTCGTTTGTATCATCAAATGAAACACCGAGGATTTGAAAGTTTGTCATTAATTTGTTATCGCACATATATGTTTACCAGAAGGCGAACTGAAATGTGAGAATCTATATCTTGTTAGTCATATCTGTAACTATCTAATTAAATGCACAAAAACCTATCTAAGTTCTATTTTGTTTGCATATATTCTTGATAGAGTCGACCAAGTATTAGCGGGAGTCCTCACCGTGTGGTCAAACTGGCCGTATTCTGTTATATCTTTATTCGTTTCTATAGTAACATCTTGTCTGCTCGCTAACATTGATCAATCACTGATCAATGTTGTTACTTAAACTTGTTGAGTACTTAATTACGGTGACATACATCCTATCACTAACTCTTCAATATTTGTTTGTTGTTTTCTCGGTCTCAACAGTTGAAAGATTCGCCAGTTTTTCTTTCTAACATCTTTATTACAAGCAGCAACCACAAAAAAACTTATGGAAAGAGATTTTACTATCTTTAGGCAATGCCGCAAGAAGATAGATAGCATTCAAAGAACTTTGGGTAGCTTACACATGACAATCCTGGAACTAAGTATGTTTAGCTGTAAGGGAACATTTATGTGTTCAATACACGAATTCTTAAATCATTTAAAGGACAGGACGCAAGATACAAAATTCCAGCAGACACGTTAGAGGGATGAGATTCTTGGATGGCCGGTAAAGCACCAGGATCAATGTCGTTCGTGCTTTTGTAGTTGAAGTCAAATGATCTCTATTAAAATCCAAATCATCATTATCGTGGTGCGGTCACTACCTCATCCTAACAACACAACACTGCACACTCCCACTGCTGCTGACAAAAAAGGCCAATGTTTTTGACCTGTCTGTCTTTTTTATCTCAAAACGTCTGCTTCTAACTGTAACTGTTGAACGAGTTAATTTATTTCGACAAATAAAAAGTCACGTCAATAGATTCGTTTTTGGTGTTTTTGAAATTCAAGACAGAAAGAAAATTAAATAAGGTTTACGATTTGCCTTTCCATATAGTTAGACTTGTTATCTTTTTATATCCCGTATTGGGGCAAGTTTTCATATCTACATATGTTTATAGTAATATAATGGGTGTGTTTATATAATCACTATATTATCGCACGTGATAGACATTATTAATAAGTCGTGATAAAGATTATATTGTCCAAATGTAATTAATCAACAATATCAAAACAATTAATATTATCTTTTACATTAATACGATAAGTTATAATAAATTATCCTTCTATAAAATTTAATAGCGAATATTTAGTGAAAAAATATAAAATTAATTGCAGGATTTAAAGAAACGAACATTAAATGTAGTTCTAAAAATGTTTGTAATAATCTAACCTAACCCATGTATAAAATTTCTATAAATAATAAGATAGGTAGGTATATTTGAAGCGGTTTATCTTAAAGATCGTGACACGTACAATGAAAAACAAAACTTTTATATGTACATATATATTTAATATCCTTATATATATGTGCTATAAGTTTTTTAAAAATGATTATAAATATGTTGTACTCGTAAACGGCTTGCAATATTATTACATTTTAGGTGATATTGTTTAAATCAATGTAATTTTTGAAAGTTATCAAGGTTTATAATAAAATCAAATATGACACAATCCAGTAGAAAGTGTTAAAACCAGATTTAAATTATCATTATGTAATTGCAAGTGAAGCCGAAACTTTATTCCCCTTTATAAAAATTGCACGAACGACGAACGTGAAATCTATCTGAAGAATAAATAATTACTGAACTATTGTTTATGTAAAATGTATTAGAAATACATAAAATTCACATAAGCACACACACTAACTTGGGTTTAACGCACACATATGATACATGTTAATCCGTGAAGATTCTTCGATGTGTCTATTGTGACTTTCAAACACTTCTTTTTTTAACTTAAGCGATTGTTTTTTTGACTTCATACTTTAGTTCATTTAGTTCAGATAAATTATCGAAATTAAGATGTTCGTTATACTTCCTTAATAAATTTAGAGATTTAGTATTTATAGCCCATTTTAAATAATCTTTTCTTAATTGGATTCATTGTCTTATAAGATTTCAAACGAGAAAGCTTCAATAAGTTTTCTAATTCGACTTTCCTTTCTAATATGTTCTCCATGTCAGAGTCGATAGAAAACAAATTAATTTAGGACATAATATTTAAAATAGCGACTTGATAGAACATAAGTGATACAACAGATTCTTAATATTAAATCATGTGTTACGCGATGGACTGGTTTCATAAAATATGATTGCATAATAATTAGTTCCAAGTGAACGTGAACATATGAGTGGAAGCGTTAACAATGACTGAATTTGCATTTAAAAAATAACTTGTTAGACAATGTTAGTTTATTTTTATAACAGACGATAAATACAGTTTAAATGTTAACAGGAAAATACTCGGTTTGAATTGTAATATGCACTTTTGTTTTAGTCTTTCCTCTGAGCGACGTCATTTTATCTTACGATTTCATGGTCGACAGATGTGTGATAAATATTATTTAAGATAAATAAATATTTTTTACATAATAACCAACTCCTCCGGCTAGCTCTTGTGTGAGATTACTTGTACATATAGTATTACTATTTTTCCTATATATTTGTTGTGTTAGTGCATGGCTATACGCTTTAAAATGGTAAGATCATGTCATAAGAATATCCTTACTCATAAAAATAATTGGTGCTTAATTATTAATCAAATATTGAATCTCTTATATCAAGGTTTATTTAAGATCATACTTCAAAGAAATTAAATAGTGTTGTTTGTTACTGAGATCCGGCTAATCACGCGAAACTGAGAGACTTTAAATGATCAAGTTTATAAATACGAATTCAGTGGTCAAAGGTCAGATATAGATATTAAAGTGTAGTAGAAGTTTGATTGAGAAGACTTTTTGTTTACATTAGAAATTCATATAGAAAATCGAAAATGTAATCATCCTATATAAAGAAATTTAACTATCGAAGAAAAACAATAAAACAAAACAAGCAATTAATAATTTTGAGAATCTAAGCTAATCATTGATATTGGTCTAACTAAATATATTTGAACAACTATAGCATATCCTTTATGGGTTAGATACTATTTGTTAATTTCAATATGTATTTAAAAACCAAAACATTGTTTTACAGACAAAAGCAAAAATTTTGAGCCTCACTGGAGTTTTACTTCTTCTGACGGTGGGCGGCCTTACAATTGTGTTGGCTGCTCCAGCTGCTAAAACGGAAAATCCTGACAGTAGAGAATATAAGTCTTGTTCACCTGTAGTCATCGCTCACAGAGGTGCGAGCGGTTACGTTCCAGAACATACCCTGGGCTCATACGCACTGGCCATCACAATTGGGGCAGACTTCGTTGAACCAGATCTAGTCATAACAAAAGATGGCCATTTAATTGCGAGACATGATAATGAATTGGGCCTAACCACAGATGTTGGGAGTCATCCCGAATTCGCTGACCGCTATCGAACACAGTGGGTCGATGGCAAACAGATTTCAGGATGGTTCACAGAGGATTTCACTCTCGAAGAAATCAAAACATTAAGAGCTATAGAACGTATCCCCGACATACGACCTGGAAACGCAAGAATGGATGGTATATTTGAAGTGCCAACATTCCAAGAAATAATTGACTTGGTGAAAAGTATGGAGCCTAGTCAGAAAAGAAACATCGGTATTTATCCCGAAATAAAACACAGTACTCATTTCGAACAGTTGGGATTAAAAATGGAAGAATTAGTCGTAAATACTTTCCATGCAAATGGATACAGAGGCTTCGAAGCACCTGTGTACATACAGTCTTTTGAAGTTAGCAATTTAAAAGAACTGAGGGCATTGACAGATTTGAAATTATTACAACTGTATGAAAGTGATGTCACTCTTCGACCAGCAGATCAAGTTGCTCGAAATACTAACCTCACGTACGCGAAAATGTTGACCCCAGAAGGATTAAAAGAGGTTGCCAAATACGCTAATGCTGTAGGACCAGACAAAAGCCTTATAATACCTCGAAATAATGATAATACTTTGGGTGAGCCCACTAGTTTCGTAGCTGATGCTCATAATGCAGGTTTACAAGTACATCCATATACTTTCCGTGCTGAAAACGAGTTCTTACCCAAAGAATTCAAATCTGATTCCTCTCGCAATGCTAGAGGAAATTTGAAAGGTGAAATCGAAGCGTTTATCGCAGCTGGTATTGATGGACTATTTGCAGATCAACCAGATGTACCGGTCATCCTACGTGGAAAGTGTTCCCACAATTAAATGCAGTGAAAATAAACTTTTAATATAATGTAAAGTTATGTAACATAAAGTTAATTTTAATAGTAAATACTTACGTCATTTCAACTAATATTTATTGCATATTTTTCTATGTGTGAAAAATATTTGTATATAAAATATCATCGTTCTCATTCTAGCATCAAAGTATTATAAGAATTTAATATTATGTAAATATTGAAATAATATTATAATACTAAATATAATATACTTTGATAATAGCAAAGTCTAACGCAGCTAATTAGTTTATTAACACATTTTTAAGATAAAATGTTTGTTAACAAAAATAGTTTAACTTCAAATAATGTGACTACAAATTCATTAACATAAAGTTCAAATGGTTACAGGAGATAATGCTTACTTTATTTTTATTTGTATTATCGGTAGCATTTCATACATTATAATGGTACAAAGAACATAAATAACAGACATATTACTAAAATACATACTGTATAATGGATAATATAATGGATAATATAATGGATAATATAATGGATATGACGATAAATATAGTCCCCAAATTAAAAGAAATTGCATCAGTGTCTTTCCATTGGTGAAGTTTGTTGTAGTGACTAATTAATTGTAGGCATTACTTAGAAATTCTAGAACATCGTCCAATCTATCAACTACTAACAAATTAATTAATTTGAAAACATCCTTTGGAAAATTTAAAACAATCAAGTTATAATTTAAAATTTAAAAAAAGCAACCACCACTAGACCTTGTTTGTTTTAAGTCCTCTTAAATATGAAAAAAAAAAGGTGATATATAATTACCTGATAACTGAATTACGTTTTGAAAATGTAAGAAAATAAAAATTGCAAACTGGAAATTAAATGAATTTTTTTAATGAAAAATAAATATGATATTGAATGAACAAAAATAATTTGCTAATTGAGATCGTAGTATTATTTCTGTGATTATTTCTATATTTTCATGGAAAAATATATGAATATTCTGATGATGACATTGTTTTTATTTCCTTTAAAATAAAATCTTTCTTTATATGATATTCAAGAACCACTTTGAAAGCGATTAGACATGTTTATATTTTACATTACTATAAACACATAAATTTAGAGCACGAGAACTTGAAACGGTTGATGAAAGGAAATCATAATATTTAAAGCCTTTTTTTACATAAATCAATCAATAAAGAAAACTAACCTTAGGGATTTTGAGCGAAGTTGCCTCGAACAATTCCGAATAAACATAGCATCGGACAGAGCAGAACCACCCTTTTTAAAGCCATTATATACTTCCGAACTGTAAATATTTTTCATTGCTATCCTCACATTCTTGATCATTTTATATTTCCACCCCCTTGATCCCAAAAATCTTTTATAATTTTCATTTATTAAATCATTAATGTATCTAACAATTATACGGAAACATACACATTACTCACATTTTAATATTAATTACTAAATAAAACATAACTTAATATTTTATATGATAGGTAAGTTTTTTGATAATACCACCAAACGTTATAATTGAGTTGTATTAAAATTACAACTAGTAAATTTATAATTATCAAGACAAAAAAATCAACAGCAACAATATTCTTATAAAATTATTATTATAATTTTTTGTTTTAATAGTTCAAGTAACCTTTACTTTCTGTAATAATTTTTTGCGAAATCGAGTACTAGGTATCTAGGTGGTTTAAAGATTAACGAAATAATCATATCTGATGATTTTTGTCTACAAAAGTTAATTATAATTAACACACACATCGATGATTATGCAAAGTACTCAATCAACAGTGCGTGAAGATTTTTAGATTAGTTGATAAAAATCGGAGTTCCCATTTTTTTCAAATCAAACAGCTTTTGAAAATGGAATCGTACAGACGTTTGATTTTCGGTCTCTTTACTCTTATTTTAGTTAATGTCTGTAAAGTTGGGTCTCATAATACAGAAACATTATACAGGCGCGGTGCAGATGATTGTAAGCCACTGGTAATAGCCCATCGCGGTGCAAGCGGTTATGTTCCAGAACACACCCTCGGATCTTACGCCCTCGCAGTGACGATGGGAGCAGACTACGTTGAACCAGACCTAGTCATGACTCGAGACGGGCATCTTATTGCTAGACATGAAAATGAATTGAGCTTTAGCACCAATGTGGATCAACATCCTGAATTTGCCGATCGCCGCCGCACACAAACAATAAACGGAAGAAACATCTCAGGCTGGTTCTCCGAGGATTTTACGCTCGAAGAAATTAAGACCCTGAGATCTAAAGAAACGATGTCGATCTTTAGGATTGCTAATGTACGCATGAATGAAGCATTTCAAGTGCCGACTTTTCAGGAAGTTATCGATTTAATTAAAGTGCTCGAGATCAGCGAGAACCGCACAATTGGAATATGTCCAGAAATTAAATACGGGACTCATTTTCAACAACTTGGCTTAGCAATGGAGGAGCTAGTTGTAAATGTCCTCCACAAAAATGGTTATGTGGAACGTAATGCTCCAGCTTTCATTCAATCATTTGAAGTAACAAATCTAAAACAATTGAAGAAAATAACTGATATAAGACTGATCCAACTATATGGGGCCAAGTCAAGCACTCCTTACGATCAAGTTTTACTTGGAAGTAACTTAACCTTTGGTTATATGGCTACTCCGGAAGGTTTGGCCAACGTTGCAACTTATGCCTCGGGTGTGGGCCCTGAAAAAAGTTATATAATTCCAAGAAACCTACTAAACAAGTTAGACACACCGACAAGCTTCGTTAAAGATGCACACGCCCTTGGCTTAGAAGTGCATCCGTACACATTTCGAGCTGAAAATATATTTCTTCCACGAGAATATCAAATAAATGATGTAAATGGTCTTGGCAATCTAACACAAGAAATTAAGGCTTTTATAGACACAGGTATAGATGGTTTGTTTATTGATCATCCTGATAAACTTATTAGTGTTAGAGGAAAGTGTTGAAATTTTTAAATCAAACTTTAATACCAGGATAAATAATGTGCTTTTCAGAGACAAATTGATATTCCATGCACTTTGTTATTATTTTATGTTATATGTATTTTTAAGTATAAGTAATGTGTTATGTCAAAATTTATGTTAATTATTTTTTTTATAATATGACGATGTATGTTTACTTTTTTTACATAAAACATATGCTATTTATTTTGTTTATACATATTATATATACATCTCTCTAACTTGGTACCAAATACATTTCTAAAATACTTAATTATTCTAGTAAATCAACTAATTATTAAATATTTTGCAACAAGTTAAACAAGTTAGCTCTTTCAACATAAATTCAGAGTGCGGTAATAAAATGTTAACGATTTAAACATTAAATAATATCAGTTATATGAATACTTAGTAAGTGAAGCAGTTTTTGACTGACAACAACGTCTGTCTCAGCTGTTTTCGTGTCGATAGCCTAAAGCGCAAGTAATATTGATAGTATTAAGATAACTTCAGCCAAACAGAAACAATAGTAATATTGGTATTTGCTGTATTTAGTTTTCTCAAATGTTGTAAAAATCAGGAAATTAAGTTTTTTCGTAATTGTATTTTGTGTACTTCAGTGAATTTTTTGTGTATTAGTAATTGTTATTTGTATCACTTTAAATATAGATTTTTTTTCGTGTATGTACGTGTTTGTTAAGTTTGTTAAGTAATAACTATATACATTTCTGTCAAAACCGTTGACAGTCTGTGCGAAGTTATTATAAGTTAACTGTCAATTGTCAGTACTTACTACTCAGTGTCGAAATGTAAGCAATTTGCTTTCAGAGATGATAAGGCAATCATTAAAATTTCGAAAGACTGTAATAATAGTTTCTGTTTTATCACTACGTAAGTATTTGTTTTACTTAGAATAGCTATAAACCCACAAAGTCCTTCTAAACACTCCTCATGCTGTCAGCTTTTTGATCAAAACGCCGGTTTCCAATGAACACTTATATTCTGTTATTATTTTGCAGTTATATTTATATTTCTTATTCTTAAACAAGATAAAATAAAAAATTATGAACTAGAAAGACACCAAAAAATAGACAATGATTTCCAGGATGTAGGTTATAGAGATTTTAATCATATGCCAAAAATTTATGAAGTAAATATGGAAAATCGTATAAATATGGATTCAGAAAGCAATGTTAATAAAGATAAGGAAGAATTGAAAGAAGCCAAAAATCGGATTGAACAGCTGGAAAAGAAAATAGCAATTCTGGAGGGAAGAATACCAGAAAAGTATCCTGATGTTAAATATCTTGGATACAAGGAAAGAAAGAGAATATTGGTAATCATACACGTTTTATTTTGTTATTTTAATTTCTAAGCTCCACAGAGGTAAACAGCAGCTCTATTTAAATTTGAATATAATAATGATTAAAAAGAAGTTATTCTCTTGTTTAGAAGTTTTTAAACAGTTTGATTGCTTGTAAATGCAATGATGTTTATATATCTGATTAATAAAAAGTATTGAGCTTTTTGTTACATCTTATTATTATTTTATAACCATTATAATCTTGATGTTAAAGTTCCTTTACAGCAATTACAATCACATACAGACTAGAAGAAAGTGTTGATATGATTGATTTAAGGTAACGGAAACATCAGGATTATGTAGTTACAAAATAATGTATTTGTAATGTTGGTTGAAAATTGATATTTATACAAGACCTAACTACTCTGTATTAGAAATTATGCTACAATTATTGCTTAATAACAGGAATAGCCATATATGCAGATGCTCATTCTTTTACAATTTAATATATTCTTTATGCAACATTAAGGTCACCGGCGGAGCTGGTTTTGTTGGATCACATCTTGTCGACATCCTCATGATACAAGGTCATGAAGTCATAGTCGTTGACAACTTCTTCACGGGCAGAAAAAGGAATGTGGAACACTGGTTTGGACACAGACACTTTGAAATGATTCATCATGATATAGTGAATCCATTATATGTGGAGGTAGTTAACATTTTAAGTGTATAAAATAACATATAAACAAGTATATAGAATATAATCAAGACCCCCCCTTGTCTGATAACTGATAATGTTTGGTAAAAACAATCTATAAGATAAAGTATTATGTTACTTGGTGCATGAGCATATTTAAAATTGTCATATGAGTTCAATGTTAACTTAATTTTCAACTACAATTTACATTTACAGGCTGATGAAATATATCATTTAGCGAGCCCTGCTAGTCCGCCACATTACATGCAGAATCCAGTCAAAACAATTAAAACAAATACTTTAGGCACAATCAATATGCTTGGTAATTAATCTGTATTTATAGCAAAAATATTTTTGTACCAATGTAATAGCAAGAAATATATTTTTTAACAGAATAATAATGTAACTTTTACGTAACTTATAGGTTTGGCAAGGAGAGTTGGTGCAAAAATTCTTATAGCCAGTACATCAGAGGTTTATGGTGACCCCATGGTACATCCACAGCCAGAATCATATTGGGGTCATGTCAATCCTATAGGTCTGTAATATTGTACTTGGAAAATTCATGTTAGTTAATAGTTATGTAAATGCACATGTTTTTGCAAATACATATGAAAACTACTGAAATATACTACTGTCAATTGCTTTACCAATGAATCATTCCTTAATCAATAATCATAATTTCCTAACATAGCCTAAGATCTCTTAAAATTCAATAAAAGTATTTCTAACATCCTTAACAAAGAACAATCAAGGAGTTTTTTATAATTATAATGCAATTCATCTTCCTGTTGTAATTAATAATTATAGTTATTAAGAATGGAAAATATTGCAGTTTTATCTTTTTAAATTTTACAATTCCAATTCGATGATATTTCTATTCAAGGACAGAAAAAAATACCTCATTCCATATTCATTTTAACTGTTTATGTTTAAAATATGTTAATTTTATTGTTCGATAAGAACTATTTAACCTCTAACATAAATATAAGTAATACGTTTTTCTAGGACCTCGTGCGTGTTACGATGAGGGAAAAAGAGTGGCTGAAACCCTTGCGTACTCATACGCGAAGCAGGAGAATGTGTCAGTACGTGTTGCGAGGATATTTAACACGTATGGACCAAGAATGCATGTCTCTGACGGAAGAGTGGTGTCAAACTTCGTTATGCAGGCGTTACAGAACCTTACAATTACTGTATGTATACTGACAAAGTCAAATATAATAGAAATATTATTTTGTAGCTTTATTAATATATGAAATATAAATATTTCCAGGTCTATGGCAACGGTAAACAGACGCGTTCATTTTGTTACGTGTCAGATCTAGTCGATGGTCTCATAGCTTTGATGGCTTCTAGCTACACGTTACCTGTTAATTTGGGAAATCCCGTAGAACACACTATAGAAGGCAAGTGAATATTTTATAAACGACAATGATGAAACTATTAACACGAATAGATTTTCGTTGTATAATACACTTTTCACCTTCTCCATATGAGAGGCCTTTGCTCAGCAGTGAGCTCCGATAGGCTAATGATGATGATGAATACACTTTTTATTTGCACACAAATATACACAATGTGCTTGATATAATATAAATACCAGTTAAAAACTTACACACACACATACACACACTGACCACTCATTTATAATATTTAGACACGATATCGTATTCTTACCTTTACCTTTTATATAAATAACTGGTTGTAGTTACATGCAAACTTAGTTTTGTTTATTAAATTAAAACTGTAACATTAATTTCAAGATTTAATCAAAAAAAGTCTTTATAAAGTGATAAAATTCCAGAATTCGCTGTAATTATCAAGAATTTAGTCCCTGGATGTCGCAGTACAGTGGCGACGGGCGCAGCTGTAGAAGACGATCCACAGCGACGCAGACCAGACATCACGTTAGCCAACACACATCTCAAATGGAAGCCAAAGGTACATTGAGTATTATACATACATATAACATAATATATCATAAATGTCACTTATTAGTTATTACTAGGGCCCGGATAAATATGCAGTGGCGGCTGGTGGGTTATCGAATTGGTGGTGCACTTTAATAAAATATTAAAATTAGAAAATGCAACAAAAACCCAATTAACATCAAATATGTTTATTTTTTAAATATTAAATCAATGCGACGACATTTTTCTGAAGCGAAATGTTCAATCAGCTTTAAATCGAGTATTGTTTGTATAATTATTTTTTTCAATACTAAGCATAGAAAGTGCATTTAGCAAGTGCATGGTATTTCGGAGAAAAGTTTTGATTCTTTTCAATTCCAATTCGTCATACATCGGGTGCTCTCGGTAATCTTCGGCCGCTCGTGCGGCGCTTGAGAACCGACTCATTACTCGGTACATTTCTATGAACGATCTTTTGTTTCACGCGTCAGGCGTATTAATGCGTATCTCATACAAGATGTATTAGGAGTCCTCGTGCACTCGCCGAAGCGCACGAGATATTAGTTTAGTAAAGCGCACAAATTTTTTGACTATACGTAATTAGAAATTTAATTTTTTACACGTTTTTGTATGTTTAGAAAATAAATATTAAAATGGTATATTTCAAAAATAAAGATGAAATATTATTTTGTAATTTTTAAATCTTTTGAATTGGTGGTTCAGCGCACGAGTGCACTTAAGGTACAGCCGCCACTGTAAATATGTATTAAAAAAATTAAAATAAGTAGGTATGTACATAAAATATGGACGAAAAAATCAAAAATATGGAAAAAATATGGAGTATAAAATTAAATACTTTCATAATTAAACATTGTTTTACTATAAGATAAGGATCACTCGTGATGTACATCGTTAAGTTACATTTAAAAACCGATGAAAAAAAGTAGCGAAATATTTATTTCAACAAAAACTTCAACTTCCATTACACTAGCCTTATCAAATTGGTTGCAATGCAATACACAATGACGTGCTTCTTTAAATTATCAAAATTAAAACTCTGACGATTTGGTCGAAATATAGCCTTATATCTGCTGATTGGTCTCATCTCAAGTCACATGACGTGATGGGTGCATACTTTAACATGCTTAATTTAGTAATTTTGTAAGCCATGTCTACAGCCCTCGAAACTTTCGCACAGAATTTTATTAATTTTTTTAGCGTATTTAATCCTCTTTTTTTATCTAAAGCATTAGTGGCGGGAACGTAAATTTTATGTATTTTTGTGAATATATGGATGATTGTAACATTTTCTTGTAAAATATGGACTTAACTTTGAAATATGGTAAAATATGGAAAAAAGTTGGTTTTTCAGTCTAAATATGACAGTCCATGTAAAAAACACATTCTAGACCGAAAATCGCGTAAATTAAAAATATGTATTTACATATTAATCCGGGCCCTAGTTATTACACCTTATTAGATATATACATAGGTGTACAACTTTGCTTCCGCCGTTTTTTTCCGAAATTCGAGGCTTTATTGTAAAAAACTGGTTATACATTTATGATTCAAAGTACTGTCCATCGGTGGCCACTACTTTCTCCCATCTTTCGGGTAGTGTACGAATCCCGCGTTGAAAAAACTGGTCATCTTTTGAAGCGATCCACGAATCGACCCAATTTTTTACTTCTTCATAAGACTGGAAGTGCTGGCCAGCCAGCCGTGCCTTTGATCGAAACAAGTGATAGTCCGAGGGAGCAACGTCTGGAGAATACGGCGGGTGGGGTAGGACTTCCCATTTCAACGTTTCCAAGTATGTCTTGACCACTTTCGCAACATGGGGTCGAGCATTGTCATGCTGTAAAATCACTTTATCATATCTCTCGTTGTATTGCGGCCGTTTGTCTTTCAATACTCGGCTCAAATGCATTAATTGCGTTCGATAACTATCGCCTGTGATTGTTTCAGTCGGTTTTAACAACTCATAATGCACTACGTCGAGCTGGTCCCACTAAATACAGAGCATGACCTCGGAACCGTGAATATTCGGTTTGGCCGTCGACGTGGAAGCATGGCCTGGATATCCCCATCATTTTCTGCGCTTGGGATTATCGTAATGAACCCATTTTTCGTCCCCAGTCACAATGCGATACAGAAATCCTTTCCGTCTTTGCCTTGCAAGTAGTTGTTCGCAATCAAACAAACGCCGTTCAACATCTCTCGGCTTCAATTCATACGGCACCCAATTTCCTTGTTTCTGAATCATTCCCATGACTGTCAGGCGTTTTGAAATGACGCAACAGTCACTCCCACTGATCCTGTCAATTCTTGTTGCGTTTGACACGAGTCTTGATCAAGTAATGCCTCCAATTCTGCAATTTCGAAAACCTTCTCTCTTCCACCGCCATGCCGGTCTTCGACGTCAAAATCACCGTTCTTGAAGCGTTGAAACCACTCTCGGCACGTTCTTTCACGAATAGCGGCCTCACCATAGGTATTTGAGACCATTCGATGAGCCTCAGCCGCAGATTTCTTCATATTAAAGCAGAAAATTAAAACCTCCCGCAAACGACGAGAATTTGGCTCGTAAGCTGACATGTTTAATCGAGAATAACTTTATGATGCAGACACAAATCGACTAATATTTCGATGGCGTTATGTTAACAAATACCTAAGCTTATTGTATGACATTTACGATCTATTTATTTCGATTACCACTTACCGCTATAGCCATCTATTGCAAAACGGCGGAAGCAAAGTTGTACACCTAATATTTTGTGTCATATAAGAATATTCCTTAAGTGTAAATTAATTTTCTTTAATTTCAATATAAAATTATAGTATTTTTTCAACTATATCAGTTGAGTGCAAGCAAAAGTTTAAATTCCAAAATAAACAATCAATAACTTCACTACATAATAAAAAACAGTAGTAAAATAAAGGCGGCAAATGTGTAGTATATGTACTTTAAAAAAAATACAGAAAAGTAGGGTATACCAAACACTGATATTAAAATTGCTTCATTTGAGTAAAAAATAAACAAAATTACTATCTCTTACTTTTAAATACATTATTTTGTGAAATGAAATCTTGTTATAGTACCAATGCAATCTCATACTAATTTCTGATTGTTCTAGGTTTCATTAGAAGAGGGACTTCAAAGAACAATAGAATACTTCAGAGAAGAATTATCCAGAACAACATTTTATAATAATCAGACATATATTGATGTTAAGGTAAAAAACAAACACTGACATACTAAGAGTCAAATTTTTTATATATGTGATATTAGCATTATAGTACATGAAGTCAAATGATGTAGACTTAATAAAGACACTAATATATATATTTATATATTAAACTGAAGAATAAATACAACATATAAGGATTAAGTCAATAGTTTCAGATAAAATTAATATACTATGTCCTTTTATGAATACAAACAATTGATAGATCATCGAAATCAAAAATTAGGTGAAGCCATATAAGTAATTGTCTTTTAGAAAAATTATGTTGTAATTGTAGAAAGGTTGTGTATGCAAAGATTACAATCTTGGATATATGTGTTTAATAATTGTTATTTCTTTTATTTTTTGATAAATAATTTTATTAATCATTATTTATATGCCATTTATTTTATTATATGAAAATGAGCACATAGAAACAAATCACAAATAATCAGATGTCTTTATTTTATAAAATATTTGATGAAAATAAAATGATGAATACTATTACATATTAAAATCATATAATACAGATATATAAATGAGTATATTATGCATGTACATAATAATTGTAAAGTATATTCTTTGTTGTTAGTCAAATAAAAAAATCATAAATCGTAAGTAAGCACACCTCGATTAAAATTTTATTAGTTTGACTTATGAAAACACTACAATTGTTTTGACTTAAAAGTAATAGACATTTAAGAACATGATGGTCACTTAAATAATATAAATTGTTTTTATATTATATCATTGTTTGTTTTATATTGCTTTAAATTACATAATCGGGTTAACTTGTCAATAAATGTTTAAAATGTTATTGGCTATTTATTTACAACACATACTAGGGAGTACATTCCAATTATATTTATAAGACTTACGTAGTACGGACTGTGACTTACAGAGTCCTAAGCCTTTGGTTTCTATCAAGTTTTTATACATTTGCAACATATCACTTGGACTTTGTTTATGCCGTATCAACATGTTGTTGTCACATCCACGAGACTTCCACTGTGTGTCAAATCTTGTATCATGCACTCGATTTATACCATTTAATGCTGCCGTCCATACACCCATTGATACATCTTCAGAATTATATATACTGGAAATATCAAAATAGGATCTTTGTCATCTTAAAAACAACATATTGTTTTTATATTTTCAATTCCAAATACAGTTGGAAATATTTGTTAAAAGATTATAAAATAATTGTATTGTCTTAATTCTATATGTAAATGTACAGGCTATGCTTAGGTATACACTTAAAAAATAAGCATAACAGTGTAGAAAATTCTTTAAAATAATATATGTATATATTTTAAATGCAAACAGTCCTGTATTGGCTCTGGATAAATTGGCGGGTATGTACATAGATATGCTTAATAATACCTTAAATACTCCAAGTTTCTTGAAATATAATCAACTATGCTGTTGGATATAACATAGCCACCTCCTAGAGCATAAGGAAGATAGGTGTCACAAAGAAACCATTTCTTTTCCTGCCATTTCCCACTTAAAAATACTTGAGCTCTCCCATTAAAATATCCCCAATATAATCCTTTTTGGTTTTGTGCTGTCTCCTAAAACATACCAATACTATGTAATAATGGAATTTGCAGATAAAGTATTTTAGGTGTTATAAAATACCTTATAAGTAACATAAGAACTAATAGATGCATCATCCATTTTAGGTCCAAAAGCTTCCAAATCTTTCACTATCAAGTCAACCCTAACAAATGAGTCGTCATCACATTTAATAACATATTTTAATTGCTTTAAATTATTGCTAAGAAAATCTAGAGAATAAAGTAACTTTAATGTAAGATTCTCATAGGAATCCTCAAACTTATTCAACAGTAGTAAATCATTACTTCTGCTAAGTTCATTATCAATTTTAATGAGCTTATCCTTTTCTAGATTTTGTGTTCCAATTACGAAAAATATTTTTATTAAATCTGTTTTTTTATTTTTTCCGAGCCTGGAGTTGTTCCATTTGAATAACGTTTCACCGTTTTCAATGAATATATTATTAATAAAATTAGCCCACGTCGCCCTTATAGCGTCTCTTTTCATTTCATTATCTGGACTGCTTATAACAAGCACCGCATATTCAGTCTTTTCGTATATTGATGAGTTTTTGCTTCTAAATTCTAAGTTTGAAATATCTGAAGCACATTCCATTTTAATAAAACTTAAAGCTATTCCACAACCTAGGTAAAAAAACAAAAGACTAGAAAGTATCATTCCCCTATATCGTTTTAATAATAACGTTATCATTTTAGATTGGGACTATTCATTCTTGAGAGTTCTGTTTGTCAATAAAAACCTAAAATCATGAAAATTCTATAAATTAAAATTTTACTTTTAATTATTCAGTGAAAACGCTCACTCAATCATGCATTTTTTTCATTCATATTACCCTTACGTTGGTTTATAATATATTAAGAGACTTTTAAAAGCTTTTCTATTGCATACTAAAATATTTAAATAGAATCATGTTAAAATTTGCATTTTGATAAGGATTACAGTTTACACTTTACTACACAATTGACACTTTGTAGGCTAGCCCAGTTCAAAATTCAAACTTGAAACAGAATAACTTTATTTGTTATACTCTGTGGAGCGTCTGGCCGTCCGCCGCGTATAAAACTAGAAAATAAAAATGTTAAAAAACTGGACGTTGAAAAAGAGAATATTCTATGTAAATTGATAATTATATTAAAATAAAAAATAATGTTGTATTAATTGACAAAAGCTGATATTCCTACATTACTGGACCTGTTAAGCAAAAATAGTTAAGAAGTAAGGTTAACCATAAGGAAGGCTTTCTTTTGAAAAAAAAAATAATTTAATTTGGTCCACATGTTTTACGTTTAAAAGCTTAGCACAAACAAACATCGACATCAATCGTATAACTCCTAATTTTGCTTGGGAGGTTAAAAATAAATTGATGACATATTTTTAAAGTTCATTTAAAAAATAACAAAATAGTTTTTTATGCCCTTAGGATCAATTAAAAACAAGGTGAAAAATTTACAATATAAAGAGAATAATATATTTTTTTAATAATATGGTAACTATTCAACAGAGACATAGTAACGTCGACATTTTTGTTTAATCTGTGGTTGTAGTCATAGCCCGTCAAATATCAAATACTTTTTTTTGTGTAGTGTTGAATGATAGTTAGGTTATAGAGGTAGTGCCATCGATCTTATTATTTTTTTATTGGTTTATGTGATATTTTTATTTATATCTGAATAATTTATATTTGTTTATATGATTTTACTTTATTTTTTAACCATAAACGTGTTCAAATTTTAGTTTTTTTTTAAATAAAACAAAATTAAAAGGGTAGGAATAAAATAAATTGGCACAAAAGATTAAAGCATAAGCAATTTGTGTATTTGAAATAGTGCCATGAGAATTTTTGTAGTTCCTTGAATATATGAGAAGTTAGTATCAACAAAGTAAGTACTAACTTATCTACATAACATTTTATTTTCTGAAGTAATTGACAGAAACTATTCTCTCTGCACTAATAGTAATAATTTTCGTGGTAATATGTTTAAAGAAATTTATAAACGTTACAATGTATATTTTTTATAACGTAAGTTCTGTTATAAAGACATGTTCCTTTTATAGTAAATTGCAACAATGGAATCAAACAAAAAAAAAGGCCGGCCGCCGCATCCGAGAGCAAAAGCAAATCCATTTTCAGCATTAACATTTGGGTATGTAATATCATTTAACAATATCAAAAGTGAGAGTCACATATTGAAAATTCTTACATTTTGAATAAATACAAGCTTGAAAATTTTATTATTGTAATAGTAGTAAGTAGTAACATTTCTAAAATTCTCTTTAGATGGACACTACCTATGTTTTGGAGTGGATTAAGGAAAGAACTAGAAGAATCAGATTTATACCAGCCTTTGGAAGAGCATGCATCTGGTGAGTACAATTCAAATACTTTACACAAAGTATAGGTGTTTTTGTAGTGTTCTATGGAATACCCATATTGCTCATATATATTAATGTTAATTTTCCTTCTAAACATTGCTTTTTTGAGTAATAGCATCCTGTTTCTCCATATTCCCTTAATTTTATACTCACTATGTAATTTTAATTTTATATCTGTAGGTTTAAAATAAACATCTCATATAAAAAATAGATAGTTCTATAAGAACTTATAACAATACTTTGTAGCAGTGAGAATCACAAGCACATTTTTGTGTGTATAAAATAGCATTGATTGCATAATAATTTGCTAATCTAATAAAATTGCCAATATATTTACATTCTGTACATTTATAGCAAATATTAATATGTATATCTGACATATATATCATTTATGTTATATTTGAATATTCTATTATTTTATGCAAAATAATCATTTTTTGAAATTAAAATTATATATTAAATATATATCTACAATATAATAACTATTTTGTATAAGCACTGAATGAATGTGTGAAACATAACAATGTTTGTTTTTTATCCTATTTGTCACCACATGACTCCAATTAATTATGATCAGTGAGTGATGAATCAGCAAATAGTTTAATTAATGATTGTCCGAATGTAGGAATACAATTATTGAATAATATATTATCTCCTGTGTAAGTTACAAACTAGAAATTTGAAGTCTTACTTTTAATGTTAATTTATAGGTTACAATTCATACTCTTCAGAAATATGCAGATTTAAATAATATACATATGGAGTGAACAAGCTAAAGTAACGCTTATATAAGCAAGAATTCAGCACATGTTTAGTTTTAACAATACTAAAATTAATTAAAATGAATAATTATCGAAGTTGAAACTGTCATCGAAATTACTATTAACAAAGCGAGACGAACAACGCGTTGTAGAATAAATGTTTTAGCAATTTATATTACACTAACAATATTTCCCAGAACATAGCCTAGTTTTAAATTTCGACGAAAATATTAATAGTTTTAAAATAATGCAATTTTTTATTATGAAATATCCCTACAATTTTAAAACACACTTCACCGGCCTTTTTTACACGTGACCGTAAATTTTAAAAAACCGTTACCAAATTGAGATTTAAATTTTAAATACTTAACATTGAAGATGTTTAATATTTTTCATTGAATTTCTTAGCACTCAAAACATAGATGCATTATATAAAATGGTCATTATCTTAATAAGCATTCGCGTTCGTTGATCTGTCATTGAGAAACCTTGAAACGTTAAGTTGACGGTTATAACTACAATTTGGATAGTCAAACGTTTGCGTCAACTGTTTCCTAGTAAGTAAGTATTCTATAAAAACAATCAAGTACCAAATAATTCTAATAATAGTAATGGTTTGCATTGTAACGTAAAAGACATTAATTTTGGCAAAGTTACGTATTTATTGAAAGGAAGTTTTCTATATTTCGATTCCAAATCAGGATCATAATAATTTCACATTCAAAAAATGCCACTATTTTAATGTATATTTCCAAAAAACAAACCGGTTTGTTTGAATGCTTTACTAATTAATGAATAACGTGTATTGATAACGGATTTGTATATCTGGTGAAGGACCTCTTGGTGATAAATTCGCTCGTCTATGGGAGGAGGAAGTAGCCAGGGCTGAAGGCAAGCGCACACCAAGTCTCCTCAGGGTACTACTAAGAGCTTACGCAGCGAGATGCATGCTGTACGGATTCGTCTTATTCTTCATGGAGTGTGGGATACGGTGAGTTATGTAAAATATCTATGAAAATTTAAATGAAACTAATATTTTTCGGATTATACTACATCTCGTCTGCCCGTGATCACGGTTGCTGTAAAGTAGCCCAAAACATCGCGTCGGGAGTAGGTAGTTTTATACAAAAATAATAACGCGTAGTACATCCAAAAAATATTAGTTTTATTTAAATGAATAAACCTCGCGAAAATCTTAGATCTAACTATTAAAATTATTTGTACTAATATTATATAATTAATTTTACAATCCATTGTATTAAATTTATCTGAAGATAAACTTTTCAACGAGCAATGGCTTAACCTATTAATTATTGTATACTTAGACTATGATAGCATTTATTAGTTTAATAAGGAAACTAATTTTTGCTTGAAAATAAAAACTACCCTCAATAGTCACTTATAATACAAAATTATAGTTTAAATGTTAATAATATATAATAAGAAAGATATTACCTGCAATAATATATTTTAATCTAATTGCTTTATTGGCTTAGCATTAAAGTCAGCGTGGAAAGAAACGTATTTTAAATAAGAAAAAAAAACGCACCAAGAAAAGAATTATCACCTAAATAATACTTCCGCTTATGTAATGTTTATTATATAATATTTGCTGTTTACATTCAATAAGGTAAATACCTATTTTGATTCGTAAGTAAGTGTGTTTGTTTGATCGAGTGCTTTACGGTCGAGTGTATTACGATAAAATGAATATATATTTAGCGTGTCTATGTGTGTGTGTCTGTGTGTGTGTGTGTGTGTTCGAGATAAATCGTTAAGGGTTATTGTCTGCTTGCTATGAAGGTGATGGCAACATTGTTGGTTTGTTTTGGCGGTGACGTCACCAATTTATTGATCGCTGTCAAAACGAGCGTATCGCGACCAGGTCAATCACATTGTTCTGACATTAATCTAACAATAAGGTTAATGATGGCGCTAACATGGAATATATATAAAAAAATCTCTTACATATTGAATATGTCCTAAGATAAGATTATTAATAACGACCATTTTTTCAAGCTTCGATCGCGTATTCTATGAATTCCTACATTATACATTCATATACAGGGTGACTGGTGAATTACTATCGATACTTGAGGAAGTGATATTTGACGATCATATATGACAAAATAAAAATTAATATAACATAAATATTAATAAACTTCTAAGTAAAGTTAACCAAAAGTTATGTAATTAATTACGCATCTTGTGAACTCCCTACAGATTAGGTATACACACACACACACACATACGCGTGTGGCGGCGTGGTGTTGTATCAGCACGCTGCCGCACGCGTCCACACTTGGAACACTTGGAACGTGTCAACACTTTATTTATTTATACGGAAATGTTGTCAAAAATTAAGTGCCTATTTTTTTTACATAATTCGAATGAGAATCATGTACCGAGTATTCTCCTTAAATATTGATAGTAATTCACCAGTCTCCCTGTATACTGTGGTTGCATAAAAACAGTCAAATTGTTTACGTATTTAGTTTTGTTTACTCATGAATGATATTGCTAGTTTTATCGGAATATACGTACATTAGAAACATATTTATGTTTAAAATTCAAATTGGAATTCAAAGAGTAATATTTGCTGTAATTCGTTACGTCTGGTCTATGGCGTAAGTAGTAACATCTTGACCTATTTCTGTCAAATAGTTCAAGGTCACACATGTTTTAAATAAATGATTGAAGTTTAGAAATGAATCTCAAATTTAAGTAGGCATATACTTTCCTGAATGAACAAGTCAACGCTCGCGACTCCGCGTGGACTTTGGAATCGGTTAAAGCGAGAAACGAATATGTTTAAAAATAGATATGGTAACAGAAAAGTACCGTCATAAACTGTGTCACGTATAAAGTGGAAATATTATACCGTTTTCCTTTAGGAACTATATGGAATTTTTAGATAATTTATAAGCCTTTGTTATTCAAACGTATGATCTTTTATTTTTATAAGGCTCATTAGAATCCATTTAGATCTTAGTAGTGTGCAACTGTCATAAACATCTAAATATATATCCCTACTAATATTATAAACGCGATAGTAACTCTGTCTGTCTGTCTGTTACGCTTTGACTCCTAAACCACTCAACTGATTTTAATGAAATTTGGTACAGATATACAGTTGACCTTGAGAAAGAACGTAGGATAGTTTTTATCCGAGACTTTTGAAAGATTCTCTTGGAAACGCGATATAACCGAACTCCACGCGGCGAAAATGGATAGGATAAAATAATGTCGTTTTGCTACTTTTATCTATATATGTAAATCTCCAATTCTATATGCTTAGGATCTAGCCTCTAAGATCGACGTCACACTACATACGATTAATTCAATAACCTACGTCAATACTATAATGTGTGAAGATTAGTGACTGTAAACTGTTAACGCTCCGTTAATAGTGTGACGAACTCTTACCACGTGTTTCATTGTCGACCTAAACTCACATATTCTAGATTTTCATTCAATAATAGTCTCACCAATGTTATATTCAGATTTGATTAATGTTACAGTACGTTTTACTTTTGGTGTAAATTATAAAAATACTACGTTTTAAATGTTAATACGAGGAGTATTGAGTGAAAGTAACACTACTATTTGTTTTAAATTTATACACACATATGTGTATGAAGTGCTAGTTATACTACTACGTGGAATAAAAACGTTCTGCCTCACCTTCTGTAATTTAACCTTTACTAATAAGGCAATACCTACTCTCGTAATGTACCTACATAAGTTTGTTCTAAGGATTTCTTTATAAATAGGTTACTATATATACTAGTTTTAGCCTTAGTAGATTTCTGATATTTTTTTAAATAATTTTGTATGAAATATCCTTGTATGAGAATGCTATACGCCTGATTTTTTTTAAATTATATAAAATAAAATTGTAATATATTAAAACAATTGTAACAAAGTGAAGATTTCACGGAAGTAATTAAGTCGACTGGCATCGTTATTTCCATTGTTTGTGACAAAATGACTAAGTATGAAAATTACCATACAGATAGCGAGATGTTTACGAGTTTTGTCCTTAAATAAGATGTAATAGAAAAAAAAAATTTAATTATTCAAACAATTCTTATTATAATTATTAATTATGTTTGATTTTTTATTTGTATTTTCTCTTTTACTAGAATATAATTTAATTATTCCTTTTCCGTATTTTCCGATTACGTACATTCAAGTTTTAATTTATATGCACTTTCATTCAGATTTAAAAATATTATACACTTTTTTTGTGACTTCATTCAAAATGAATATAGGTAGCTTTGTGTACTGAATTTGTTAAAATTCATGTTCCCGCTAAGACATTATAGATATTATTTAGCCTTATCTTAAATTTACTGATACCTTCAAATTATTTAGAAATTTATTGAGTTTTCTTAACAAAGAAATTCAATAAGCAAGAGTCTCAAGGAATTGTACACTATAAAGATGACCTTGGGGAGATAATGTTGTTTACAAAGAAAATGGGAAAATCATCTTTTAATGCTACCTGTAGAATGTAAATAATACGTGAAGAATATTAGAAAAGAAAAGACAGTAAAATAATGTGAAGAATATGTTCCATTACCAGAGTAAATCTCAGGTTTTTGCTTCAAGGTTCATCTCGTAATACACGCGGTCTCATAAGTAATGTCAGCTTTCATATGTGAGAATTCCTAAGACTCGATTCAAACATGTCGCAACTGGTCAAGATTGGTCTGGCTGGACCTATGAAGAGTACCTACAAGGTCTACTTTTCTTTAATCATACTCTAAGTTGACTACGCATATATTTATAATAAAAAGTATATAGTGCAATAGATATGAATCTTAAGATATTGGAAACAAAAGTTTAAAGGATACTGTAATGAGCGAGCGGCATAGAGTTCATTCAATCGTTTTAATAGCTGATATAATTATGATTATTTAAGATCGTTCGAGCGGATGAAGTAGGTTTTGATGAAGAAATATTAAGACTCAGTTAATCAAAAAAGGTTCTACATTAAGACAATGCTATTGAAATCTACTGAGAAAGTTACGCGGAATATGATCAAAGAATTCGGTGGTCTTAAATTCCTACCATATTTAGCATTTAGTCCGAATTAACACATTCTGATTACTATTTATTCAGATCCACGATGAGATTGTTTAGTGTAAAAACTAATCCAAAGGAGACAATGTTATCTAATGTGTAAGATATTCATGTAATCTGTCCGTGATCACGGTTGCTGTAAAGGAACTGAAACGTCGTGATTATGTATTTACAAAGGAATAAAAAACACGTAGTTTCCGAAAACCTTACTTGCACCCAAAGGAAATAAAATAAAATAAATAAATAAATAATAAATGTCTAAAAGAAGATTTTTAGCTATTTTTTTTTTATGTAAGTCCAAAGCATGGCTTTACCGAGAACTCTAAGAGCTCGATGGGTCTGGTTAAAACATTGTAATGCCTATACTTCGAATATTAAGCCTTTCCTATATGATTATTTAATAAACAAAGCTAATATTGAACACCGATATTTCTTGTGAGACTTAGGACTCTCAGTATGGTGTGATTGATTCTCATACTATCATGAACAAATGGAAGCTGGGATGTCCTGATAAATATAATATAAACAGGAAGTATTGTTCAAAGCAGCGATTGTCCAACCGTCATTGTACCACTCCGTTATAATGATTATTGTATTCTCTGAAATAGTAATTGGAGTATTTAAGTTTCAATGGAAACTAGTACAATCTTGGAACACTAATTAAAATTAGTTACGCTAATAGTATTTCATGGTGGTTAAGATATAAGAAAAGGCAAATTCTATCGTGAAATATAGCTGTCGCTGAAGAATAGAATTATTAATGGTTTTTGTATAATTATTATCTTTTGAAAATTAAAACGCAATGTTTTTGTCATACCTTGATACTGTCTTAATAGATTATGAATAATCTCTTCCATAATGATCTTTATCAAATAGAGATTTTAGATGATTTAATATGACCTCGATTTAATTCTTTCCTTTAGAAGCAGTATGATATTAGTAGCTGCTTATTTAATTCTACTTGAAAAATTTATATACTCGTTTAATTAGTACCTAATTATCTGTTTCCGTCTTTACCGTTTGGAATTTTGCTAAATAAAATTATAAAATTAATTAATTTTATTCAGCACGTTTATTGCACATTTTTTACGTTAAAAAAATTGTTTCCCGTTTCTCTTTCAAAACCTACTTTGATATATTATGCAAAGATGTATTATTTAAAACCTGTTACGACCTATGTAGTGTGTCGATGCACACTTATGGTTGTAATTTAAACTATTGTTTGTCGAGAAGTTACAAAATCATATCGTGAAAAATGTACTTTGAAGATTACTTCTATTATTATTATTCTTTACTTTGAAGATTACTTCTATTATTATTCTATATATATGTAGGTTGGAAATTTAATCCTTACTATTTATTTATTCATTAAAATTCCTATAGAAAATATACAATGGAATTAAAAAATCAATCCAGTCCAAGTGCTCTAAGCTGCGATTAATATCACTATCCAGTTAGTTTAAACACATTTTATACTTTATTTTCTAGAACAAATAGCTTTAGTTTAAAACAAAATTATGTTTTATGGACATCTAATTTATATATAGCATACAACAGCCGCGTATGCTGGGTCTTTTTATCGGCTATTTCGGACAAGACGACCAAGTATTGATGCACACTCGTCTATCAGATTTGAAGGATAAAGTGATGCGAGCCAGATCTAATATGACAGAGCCCATGTGAGCAGGGAACATTTGAATTAGAATAGAATGTACTATAGTCTATATAGATGTATGCAATTCATTTGTTAGTTGTCGTACTATCAATTTAGTGTATTTAGTTCAAAGAAATGACGTCATCACATATGATAGAATAGTTATTGGGGTATATATATGTATAATGTAATCGTAATGTCATTGTATGTACGTATGTACGTGTATATCTCGATGCAAATGTAAAGTAATTGTTACATATTTTAGCATAGCCCAGCCGGTTTTCCTGGGCAAGCTAGTGGAATATTACAGTCCTGATCAGAAGACGATGAAACCTCAAGAGGCGTATATGTATGCTGGCGCTGTGGTGCTTTGTTCAGCTTTGAATGTCTTCGTGGTACATCCGTACATGATGGCGATATTACACATGGGCATGAAGTTCAGGGTCGCTTGCTGTTCGCTCATATACAGAAAGGTGAGTACAAATTTGATTTTTTTTCATACTATCTTACATTGCATCGTCCCACTACTTATTGAGCGTTTGCAGACTATACATAAATCTTTGCAAATGATAGTCTTCTTCTGCCTGGCAATTTCCCACCTTTAGCCAGGGTCTTCCTTACATGTTGTGAATAGTTTTGGCTAATTGTTTTTACGACCGGCCGCCTGCCTGACGTCAACCCTTTTTGGGAAGGCATTAATCACAGTACTAACTGGAAACGCTCTGTAAGCAGTGTGACCGTGAAAACTAGTAGTAAGGTCACTTGTACGTCTCGTTTGTGTTATGCTATTTAAGTATTGCACCTTTAAATGCAATTTCAATGTTGGTCGTATATATTACGTGTATGTTATGTTTCGTGGTTTTTGTATCTATTTTCGGTTTTTTAGATAACTCGTTTATTCATATTTCATGTCGACATAATGAATCTGTTCCCCAATTTACATATAAACGAAGTATTATCCTTTTTTTCTATGGATATAAAATATTATGTCGATATAGTTATGCATTTATTATTTGAAACCCTTTTTTTATTCGCGTCGCTCTCCTTATTTGATTCATGGCTTTAGGATTTTAGTGTCTTAAGGATGTTCTTAAGTCTTGTGAGGAATATATCCGATCAACATATAATCACTTAAATAATTTACTTATTATCAAAAATGAAGTTTTTTTTAAAATTTTATTTAAGTATAATTGCCATTAGGGGCTATCCATAAAGTACGTCACACGTAAAGGGGGTGGGAGGGGGTCGACAAAGTGTGACATGGTGTGACAAGGGGTGGGAGGGGTCCTAAGTTTCGTGACATCACATTTCAAAATCTAGAGGTACTAATCGCCTAATTTGAAATATTAATTAAACTAAAAAATATGTCCAACTCTATCTTTAGGGCAATACGGTTTAAATTGTTTTGTTGACAAGTTCATAGCCGCTTCTGACACGTGCCGATCGTATTTATATTAATTAGTTTATTTTTTTGTTATTGTTTCAAATATTTGATACTTTGTTGATTTCATAAAAAAGTACTTAATTTAAACGGAAATAAAACTAATTTCCGAACTGCTGTTTTAATTTAATAATTTTTCGATGTTAAATTGCAAAACATGTGACGTCACACTAGGGAGGGGGGGGTCTCAGAAATGTGACCACCTGTGACAAGGACGGGGGAGGGCTCAAAAACTCATGAAATTAGTGTGACGTACTTTATGGATGGCCCCTTACGTGTATTTAAAGATAAATAGGTTTCATACTTTCTTGTATTCTTTTATTTTTTTTCTGTCTGAATCTTAATACACAGAAATACGAAAGACATGTAGGTTTTATTGCGATAAATTTTTATCGAACGTTAAGAATCACGTTGCATCATTAAACAAAATGGTAAATGTCTGATATTTCTGATAAACATTTAAAAGTATTTACAAAACAAATGAAAGACTATGATGGCATGGATATATTTGTAAAAAATATACATTATTCATCTAATTAACAATTAAGAATAAATTGAAAAAAAAAAAAATTTCAAAAGGAGAACATTTACGAAACAGGTTTAATATAATTTTATTCAAACTATATTCATGGAATTAAAACAATTGAAGTAAATATTAACTCTTAGTTTCAATGTAAACTATTTGGGAAACCCCGGTTTTGAGAATGCAAATATTACATGTTTACTTTTCTTATATAAACCGTATGTCAATAATCGTTCATTGGTTGTATCTACATGTAGGTTATGTAACAAGCATAGTAATTGTCATACAATATTTATAGCATGTCAGTATCTTATTAATTGCTTGTAAGTCATAGAGTAAGTTTTTTTATGTCACTCGATGACGTATGTTAGCCCATCGACATATACTAGTGGACGTGCCGTACGCGTATAATCTGCAGTAATTTTTTGGTTTGAAAAGAGTAAGAGAGATAGCCTATGCTTTCGGTCCAGCACTATCTCTTTCCTCATAGATGATTGGAGCTTAGTTTTCACGACAAGCACGGCATATAAATTATCCAGAAGGGTCTCATAACGTCTTAAGTACGGTACTAGTTTGAGAGAGACAAAGATAGACCGAAACTTCGTTTCCTCTCTTTCTTTCGGAGTGACACAATTCTCATCTCTAAGGCATGTCCATTAGTATATGTCGAAGTGTTTGCCAACCTCGAGAATTCCCCTCGTTTGTGAATCATGTGACGTTTCTGTGTTACACACACAGAAGTGGCATAGTTACAAACCGGCCCATTATTCATGAATGCAAATCTTAAATTGTTAAAAATAATTCAGCTAATTAATTGAATGCATATTACCTAATGAACATTATACTCCTTTTAAATTATGTCATTGTTATGGATATGTGTGATAATTAATAATTTTTTTTAATTAATTATTATTATATTCTATACACCACATTCAACTCATAATTTTTTATTCTATTATAATAAGATTGCCTGGAAGAGATCGTTATTAAGAGATACGACCGCCTTTTTGCATACCTGAATTTTTACGAAACATCTTTTTTAATGCACTCTTTTACTTTTAATATGGTGTAAAAAAATATAGGTATAAAAATTTAGAAATAAGTTCGTAATATTTCCAAATTAGAAGTACATAATATTCAACATTTATGTTATTGTTGGAAAGTTGAAAATTTATGTAAGAAAAAAACAGTCAAAGTATAAAATATTTATATATTTATATACAGGGTGACTGGTGAATTACTATCGATACTTGAGGACGTGATATTTGACGATCATATATGACAAAATAAAAATTAATACAGTCAAAACCGTTTATAACGACATCGTTTACAACGACCTATCGGTTATTACAGCCAGATTGTATGGTCCCGTCCGAATTGCTAGTAAACTATTCAGTAAACAAACCGCTTATAACAACATCGGATACAGCGACATATCGCTTACAACGACGAAAATTTATCGATATTAATCGACTTTAACGACCAACCGCTCCTTGTCCTTACCCAGGTGCAAAGATCTACTGCTATAGAACAAAGAATTGACATAGAAAAATTGATTGGAATAGATAAGTGTCGCGTTAGCGCCTTAGCTACTGAGGAAGAGATTCTTGCAGAAGCTAAAAGTAACAACCCTAACACTAACGAACAACACGAAGACCAACAAGACCTTGAAGAACAGTTTCAGGCAATAAAAATTTTCGAGACTCTTAATGATGTAACAGTTTTGCAAAAATTTTTTGCCTTTAACGAACACTTTGATATTGATGATACTTATACCTTGAGTATGAACTGTAAAATGCTAAAAATATTTGAGACTAGGCTAAAAAAATAATTCTAAAATGACTGATTACTTTAAAAACCAGTGTAGTTTTATAACCTGTAACTGTAAGCAGCTAAGTACATTTTGTATTCTGATTATTTCTTAATAAATATTTTTATTTCTTTTCTGACTCGTTTACATACATAACCTATACCTATACTAGATATGTAACTACATATGATAATATGTATAACTACTGTAATTGTGTATATGACTATTGCTTATAACGACTATCGGATATAACGTCGGATATATACGGTCCCTTCAATGTCGTTATAAACGGTTTTGACTGTATAACATAAATATTAATAAATTTCTAAGTAAAGTTAACCAAAAGTTATGTAATTAATTACGCATCGTATGAACACCCTACAGATTAGGTATACACACACACACACATTCGCGCGCGGCGGCGTGTTGTTGTATCAGCACGCCGCCGTACGCGTCCACACTTGGAACACTTGGAACGTGTCCACACTTTATTTATTTATATGGAAATTTGGTCAAAAATTAAGTACCTATTTTTTTTACATAATTCGAATGAGAATCATGTACCGAGTATGCTCCTTAAATATTGATAGTAATTCACCAGTCACCCTGTATAAAAACGTAACATAGACGTAATATTTATGATATATTAATTTTTATTTTGTTATATATGATCGTCAAATATCACGTCCTCAAATATCGATAGTAATTCACCAGTCGCCCTGTATATATATATATATATTAAAAATTATATCAGTAACATAAACGAAAATCAATAAGTAATTATTTTACTAGGTGGTAGAGCCTGGCTGTGGTTAGTTACTACAGCTCGAACACGGGCTGGCTCGACCGGGGAAGTACCACCCTCTCACAGAAGATCGGCGTGAAGTAGCCTCTAATGGCTGCGTTTCGTCCGATGAGTGAGAGAGCCGGTTGCCCTTTCCCTATTCCCACCCTTTCCTACAATATCCTTATTCCCACCCCTCCCTATCCTTATAAAACAAGGTTGGCAACGCATCCGCAACATCTTTGTTGCGGATGTCCGTGGGCGACGGTGACCACCTTCCATCAAGTGGGCCGTCTGCTCGTTTGCCACCTTTAACATAAAAAAAAAAAAAAAAAAAAAAAAAAAAAAAAAAATCATATAAATATAATAATATATTGTATTGTTTTTACGAACGAGCAAACGGTGTGATGACAATGCTAAGCTACTGCACACTATATTTCCTAAGTATCCATATGATAGGAGATTAAATATTCCATATGTAGTTTTGTTTCTAACTTATTAGTACTTTTGAATTTACTCATTCTTAATAAAGTTTTGTATCCGTTTTCAAATCCATCTTAATGATACTAATTAATAGAGATTAAAATTAAATTTAATTTAAATAGAGACCATTAAAGTTAATGAAGCAATGCCCACAACATAATTTCCACTAAATCCTTAGGATAACCTTGACCCTTGTTTGCATACTTCAAATATGTTGGCAGCATTGATTCAATAAAGTTGTAACGTAGAACTTTCTTTGCATAATTACTTCATGTGGCAGCATTGTTTCAATATGATATTAATATAGAACAACATTCCCAGTCTCTCAGGTTGTCGAAAACAGCTCTCGGTGAAACTACAATAGGTCAAGTGGTCAATCTGCTGTCCAACGACGTGAATAGATTCGACGTGGCCGTCATCTTCCTACATTACCTATGGATAGGACCCCTAGCTACGGTCATCGTGACATACTTCATGTGGCTCGAGATAAGCTGGGCGGCTGTGGTGGGTGTTGGATTCATGCTGGCATTCATACCATTACAAGGTAACTTAATATCTTAATTATAATTGAGAATATCTATTATATGAGAATAATTCTATAGGTTTTTGGATGAAGGTAGATGAATCTTTCTTAGAAGCAATTTCCTTACTACATATTTGCAAGGTTAAATGAAACGTACATATGTAGTTTCAAATTCTTTCATAGAACTATACTGACTTCATGTGTGAATATTTATGAATACAAAACTAGAATCTGTATGTATTTAGTTCTCTATTACAAAATCATGGTATTTATATATATTTGTATTTATAACATTTGTATAGGTGTATGAAGTCACTTAAACAGATAATAATATATGGCACTACAATAAATATTTTTAAACTTTTAAACATATTATTTTCTATTGTAAGCGTTTGAAAAGACCCTTCAAACGCTAGTGCCAACAAATATGAAGGTATTGTAAGATATTTCAAGAATATAATTGTTATAAAATAAATTATATATTGTTAAGAAATATGTAATAAACGAATTGTAGTTTGGTCATCAGGAAAATACGTGAAGATAGGTTCAGTATGTTGTATGTTGAAGTGAGTCAAGAAAAAAAGAACTTTAAAAAACTTTCATTACTTATATTATGAAACTGAGGTGTAAAATATATATTTTTATCTCGGCAACTATTAGTAGCCATCTCAATTTTTTTTTTTTTGATTAATATACATATTTATAAAAAGACTATATATGATCATCAAACTAAGTCGTTTGGAAGTTTAGTATGATTATAATTTTTTAACATAATGTATAAAATAAATATTTTGACCCTCTCACTTGATAACCAGTTACTTATAATATGTGACGTACTGAAAACAGCTAGTTTATTTGTTTAGACTTGTCAATTATTCTGAATTTATACGCGAGCAAAGTTGACCGAATAAGCTAGTTTTAAATATAACACAAATTGTGGCATATTAATTTCGAAATGTATATCGAATTATTTTTTATATATTTCTTTATTTAAGATGTATAAAATGTTGATTTCTATAAATAAATTCAAATTTATTTCAATTATAGTTTTGTGATGCATACATAATAGTGTCAATTTATGGTAACACCGTCTAAAAGCATTGAAACTTATACGTACATAATATAAAGCATTGATTGATTTATAAACATCTTAACTCTGAATACTAAATGTATATTATTTGTATTTTAACAAATTGCATAATAATATTATTATAATAAACAATTAGCGTATAGAGATATATTTTGACATTCAAATATCAACGGTCATGTAGTGCAACGATCTAATTGAAAAAAACACAAAGATAAAGACGCCCTGCCCTTTATACGAAAATTATAACAAATTATTTTAGTATATCATTATTAAATGTCACTAAACTTTAATTATTATTTACTTAAACTTTCATCCCATTAATTAATTTATGTTTTTGTGTATTTTTTTGTTAGTTTTTTTATGTCCTACTTATCTATACATATTTATACAAAGTTTGTTAGGAACTGTTTTCGTGTGGATGTTTGTGATCTTTTTTACTATATAGCTAATACATACATCATCAACTTATAACACAATGTAGAATTAAGACTTAGTTTCCACAGGAATAGGACATATTATTTATAGTTATATAGACAATAGATGGCGGTTACGTTCGGTTGCAATGTCTTTCTTTAGCACAATTTATTCATTTCTACCTACAGTGTCTAAAGCACATGTATGGCTCTAAATTGAAAGTACAAAATCTCAAGCAGATTCATAATATTTCAATATCTGCCATTCATAAACAGATTAAATTATTGTACATCTGTCTTTAAATATAGCAAATTATGATAAATCTGTCAACGAAAACAGTCTCAGCGTGAGTTTTATTACCTTATAATCCCAGGTGTAGTTTTCTAAAATGTGACATTTAAAATCTGCTATTAATTAATAAAAATTTGAACATACATATATGTATAATCAACTCTAAAGCAGAATTTCCTTTTACGTAGTCAGTTAAACTATCTAAACGTAATTGCATATATATGATTTTATTTTTATATTCATAAGATATTGAACATTCAAAATTATAAAGAAGGAAAATATTAAACAGTGAAATATGTAATACAAATAATTTATTTACGAAGCATATTGCGTTAAGAAATAAAAGCTTCATCTTTATTCTTAAATTAATTAATTGATTTAAATGTCCAATAATTCCCGAAACTATAAATTTAATTTGTATTCATATGTGATATATAATTAAAACTACATATAAAAAGCTATACGGATACATATATACAGGGTGACTGGTGAATTACTATCGATACTTGAGGACGTGATATTTGACGATCATATATGACAAAATAAAAATTAATATAACATAAATATCAATAAACTTCTAAGTAAAGTTAACCAAAAGTTATGTAATTAATTACGCATCGTGTGCACACCCTACAGATTAGGTATACACTCACACACACATACGCGTGCGGCGGCGTAGTGTTGTATCAGCACGCCACCGCACGCGTCCACACTTGGAACACTTGGAACGTGTCAACACTTTATTTATTTATATGGAAAGTTTGTCAAAAATTAAGTGCCTATTTTTTTTACATAATTCGAATGAGAATCATGTACCGAGTATGCTCCTTAAATATTGATAGTAATTCACCAGTCACCCTGTATAGAAAAAATAATAATTTAAACAGCTAATATTTATTGATTTCATTAATGAATAGTTATAGTATATAGCCTTTGTTTATAAGAATATAAATTATAAATAAGTTGTCTAATATTAGCATTTCTATTTTTAGATTATTCAAATTTTCTAAATATAAAAATCAATTTATTTTTAGACGTCATTAATAATTCGTATTATTTATTTATGTATTCAAGTTATTTTTAGAAAAACGTGTTATTTTTAAATACTCTATTATTAAATGCGCGATAATTATTTATAGATTTCAAATTTATTGCATAACTGCTGAATTGAATACCGTTAAATTTATTTAAATATTTGATATGATTGTTCTTAAAAATTTAAGCTAATTTGGGAATATTCAATTCTACTGTATAACATCGAATTTTTTCTTCAACTTTTTGAAGAATGATTATGCTTGGACATTTGATATGAAAGATTCTTACGGTCATAATTTGACTATACTAAACTAATTAGTTATTAAAAATTAGATTAGTCACACAAAAATATAATACGTTTTATACTTATCAATTAATCTTCTACATTAAAAGATTTTCACTCCTATATTGACGTTCATACTTATAATTATACACAATAATATTTTACAACAAAGCTCGTGTGAATTATAGTATTTAGAGGTGTTCATATCAAAAGGCATTTCAAATGTATCCTAAGTCTAAGAGAGATTTCGATTTTCGAAGATTTTTGACCCCCCCCCCCCCCCCCTTCCCCCGTCGTAACGCACAGTAACGTTTTTCTGTAGCCCCCCCCCCCCCCCCTTCTCAAAACGTTACGTAACACTCAAGTGATCAATGCTATCAAAAGACTTACAATGCAATCTAGGTATTCCCCGTAAAATATCAATTAAGAGTTTTGCAAACTTGGAATAACAAATAAAAATATCGACCAGACTAATACAATGTGGTCAACAATGTGATGTATATGAAAAGAGTTGCTAGTTTGGGGGTTTTTATTAATATATTTTTTTAGAAACGATGCTACGTAACGTTTTGTAAGAGACACCCCCTCCCGCCCCTGTAACGCATCGTAACGTTTTACGAGACCCCGCCCTCCCTCAAAATTGCGTTACGTAATACTTGAACGCTCCCTAAGTTGACATCGTCACAATGCATACGGAGAGTAAACAGTTTTTCATTCATAACTTTTCTTCTATAACAGTATTGAAGAAGAAACGGAAAACGTTGCTTATCTAGTTTGGATATGCAAACTCAGACTAGGCATACGATAGTTATTTTGTTGTGAACGACATGAAAAAGATATAGCGTTTGTAACATAAAAAAATTATTAAAACTTCCCATGCATATTTGGCACGTGTAAAATTATGTTGAATTTGCGAACTTCTACTAAGAGTAAAAAGAAGAATCTTGTCTGCCAGTGATCACGGTTGCCGTAAAGTAGCCGAAACGTAGGGAGTATGTAGTTTTTATCAACAATAAACTCGCGTAGTACATCCGAAAAATATTAGTTTCATTTAAATGAATAAGACTCGCGAAAATCTTAGATCTCATTAAGAAGAAGAAACATTATATTAAAATTATTTTTCCAGCCTACCTAGGGAAACGTACGTCAGTACTGCGTTTGAAGACAGCAATCCGTACTGACGAGAGGGTGAGACTGATGAACGAGATCCTCTCCGGTATACAGGTCATCAAGATGTATACGTGGGAGAAACCCTTCGCTGATCTGGTGGCTAAGGCCAGGAAGTAAGTTCAATTAGTTTTTTTCAGTTTTTTCAGAGAAAGATAGCAAACGAGCAGTCGGCCTACTTGATGGGCAGTAGTCATCATCGCCCATAGCCATCTAACATAGGAGATTTTGCGGATGCGTTGCCAACCTTGGTTATTGAGGAATGAGGAGGGGAAGGAATAAGGAAATTGCAGGAAAGGGTGGGAATAGGGAAAGGGCAACCGGCTCTCTAACTCATCAGACGAAACGCAGTCTTTAAAGGCTACTTCACGCCGATTTTTTGTGAGAAGGTGGTACTTCCCCGGTCGAGCCAGCCAATGGTAGAGCTGTTGTAACTTAACAACAGCTACGCTTTACCACCTTAATTCTGTAATAACACTAATAAACTACTAGATTTTATAAGCATGACCTATTCGAGCCACAAAAACGTGAAAGTTGATAAGGATGTATGTTGCTCTTTAATGCAAAAACAATTAAAGGGATTTTTATGAAACTTTTGTAATAATGTTGCTTAGTCATCACGATAAGACACGGTCTATAAATAATCCACAAATTCGATCTGCCTACAACAAAATCAAACATGTGACGCCGTATCTATTGTTTTAACACAAGGAAAAAGTCGCAAACAAAAACTAGTATAATATATGTATAAATTTAAATATTTTAATACAATTAGTTTCTACAACGATACAGTCAAGCTTAACAAATATTTAACATTTTGACGTTGCTTTAAATTTATTACCTAAAATAATTACATCATGTGAAGTGGTTGTCACGCGACTATGTACTTTAATTGTATGTACTTACAGTATTCTATCCCGCGTTTTATTATTTTCATAGGAACGAGTAATTGCACGATGTCGATAATTATAAAGATTATTATAGACATGCTTATTAATAGAATCCTTCTGATATTAAAAATTCTACTTTTATTTTATTTAAAAATCAAGGTTTATTCAAAAGAGGTTTTATATATATTTATATAACCTCTTTTGAATAGGTTATAAATAAACCTTGATTTATAAATTATATATAGCAAGGTTCAAAATATATTGGTCGTGTTTTTTTCTTAGTAATATTATTTAATATAATTTCCCCTTATCAGCTTAGATTTAATTGACATAAAATCCTATTATATGATCCCGTTTAAAATTGCAACTTTCATATACGTATAATAAATAAAAAAATTCTGACCATAAATAACTGGTCAATGTCGTCATAGGTAACTTAAAAATTGTTTTTTTTTGTTGCTGACCTTATGTCATTTCATTTATTGCCAGATATTTATTAATTATTTTTCATTAAAAAAAAACTGAAAATTAACGTTTCATATATAAATTATTTAAATCAATTCCTTATTGATATTTTTATTTAGCGATGAATATTTATGAAATGATAACCAATTAAGCTTTAACTTCAAAGAAAATCACAAATCATACGATAATTTTCAGGCAAGAAATAAAACAGATCCGTGCTACGTCATATATACGGGGTGTTCTCACTTCATTCATAATGTTCACTACGAGGATATGTCTGTTGGTGTCGATACTGGCTTTTGTTCTGGAGAATAACGTGATCAGCGCCAAACAGGTGTTCGTGGTCACTAGCTTCTACAACATACTGAGGCAGACCATGACTGTATTTTTCCCACAAGGTATGATATAACCTATATATATATATATATATATATATATACATTATTTTTAGCTTTTAACTATCATCTTCATCATCAACCTATAACAGCCCACTGCTGAGCAAAGGCCTCTTCTCACACGAAGAAGGTTTGAGCATTAATCACCACGCTTGCTCAAGACGTCTTGGCGATTTCAAACTTATAATTGTGAAACTATAAGTCCAGGTTCCGTCACGATGTTTTCCTTCACCGTCTGTCAATGGTGTCTAAATACTCTTAGAAAGTACATATGACTCGGAAAAATCACATTGGTACTTGCCAGGTTTCGAACCCGCGCCCTCATGCATGAGAGGCGGGCCTTTAACCTCTAGGTCACCACGACCTCTTTTTAAACTGTTATAGTAAAATTCCTAAACAAGAAGCTTTATTGCATATGATTTTCAATTTATATATCCAAATGCTACTTTTTATACATTATAAATATGTATTAATTCAATATTATTCCTCTTTTACATATACTTTTATATATTTTTTATATATAATCTATTTATTTATAAAACCATATATAATTTTCAGGTATAGCACAAGTAGCAGAAGCGACTATATCCATCCAGAGGTTACAGAATTTCATGTTGTATGAAGATACAAGCAAGCCGGTCCCAGGGCTCGCTGAGATACAGACCTCAACTAAACCTAAATTGAAGGAGGTCAAAGAAGAACAGAGACCTTCGATGGAATCCAAAGAGGATCTAGAAACTAAAGACTCAAAAACGGTCTTAGATGAACCCGAAAAAAAGGTTGCTGAAGCCAAAGGAAATGGTAAGCAGAAACTGCATGATTATAGATTTTGACTGTGACTTGTGAACTATATACACATATAGGGGAGAGTCGGATATATCGTACCACTTTTCACTTTAACTCAAATATTTCGACTAAAAAACGTCTTATAATAATTAATACATATGTAAAATAAAGTTTCATATTTTAGCTTCCTTAGAAGAAGGGAACAGATCCTTGCGATTATCCTAACTAATACGATTTAGCCGACTAGTTGTTTTAATCGTACCACTAAGTCTTTAAATCGTACCATGGGTGTTTAAGTCGTACCACTGAATGAAAGACATTAAAATTCTCAATCAAATTATTTATTTTTAACTGTTAGGTAAGTAATAAAACAACATTATTTATATCTTTTAGGTAATAGAAACATAATTTTCAACTCTTAGGTTATATAAAGGAACTATAAAGCTTTCTCAGTAAAATTTAGATTATACTGTGATAATGAGATCAATCAACATAACTAATAAAAATGAGACAAAAAAAAAACAGTAAACTATAATAATAAAGTAACAGTTAACAAGAATGTTATGTTATTTGTAATATAATTATTGTGCATATTTCTTAATGGAAATAATCGTCACAAATGTCTGGATTCGTAAAGTACACGTCTCATGTAGCCACCGTTTACAGCGAACGCATGGAATCCAATCAACTTTTGGACCCTTCTTATCGTAGTAAGAACAATTGCACTTTCCACATATATTTTCAAGATAATCATCGCTGTCATCATCATCATCTAGTTCTACAACAAGTGGCTCTCCTGAATCATCGTTACTGGTGATGGAATGAGATCGTTTCCTCTTATAACTTTTGTTCTTGGCCTTGGGTAGTACTTACTATACGTACTTGCGGTAGTACTATAAGTGCTTGCGGTTGGTAGTCGGGTAAATCGTACCAGTACAACTTAACCAACTACAAAAACCCCCAATAATCTAGTATACAATTGTGGAATAATAAAAAAAAAACTGAATAACTATAGCTTACGTTGATTACGAGTTATCTCCTTACGAATGTACGACAATATTTATATTAATTCCTACAAAACATGTTTTTCTTTTATTACGTGCACAGTTGTTAACTCACGTCGATTTAAACTAGAGGGTGAAGAGGGATGGTACAGGGCCACGATTTGGCGTTGTCAATGTAGAAAAAAATATTCATTAAATGGGAAATTTAGAAGTGGTACGATTTAAATGCTAGTACGATATAACCAACTCTCCCCTATATATGTAGTGTCTATACAGGGTGACTGGTGAATTACTATCGATACTTGAGGACGTGATATTTGACGATCATATATGACAAAATAAAAATTAATATAACATAAATATTAATAAACTTCTAAGTAAAGTTAACCAAAAGTTATGTAATTAATTACGCATCGTGTGAACACCCTACAGATTAGGTATACACACACACACACACATACGCGTGCGGGAGCGTGTTGTTGTATCAGCACGCCGCCGCACGCGTCCACACTTGGAACACTTGGAACGTGTCCACATTTTATTTATTTATACGGAAATTTGGTGAAAAATTAAGTACCTATTTTTTTTACATAATTCGAATGAGAATCATGTACCGAGTATTCTCCTTTAATATTGCTAGTAATTCACCAGTCCCCCCTATATGTATTTCAGAGACTTGTTAAATTATGTTTTAATTTTATCAGATTTTAGTAGTTTAATTTCTATTTACATCAATACATCTATGATATTATACAAATTTAAATATATGTCTAACTAGCTTTTCTCCCGCAGCTTCGCCCGCGTGGATTTCGGTTATATCGCGTTTCCAAGAGAACCTTTCAAAAGTCTGGGATAAAAACTATCCTATGTTCTTTCTCAAGCTCAACTCTATCTCTGAACAAAATTTCATTAAAATCAGTTCAGTGGTTTAGGCGTGAAAGCGTAACAGACAGACAGACATACAGAGTTACTTTCGCATTTATAATAGTAGTAGGGATTTTGGGATTTATTATATCGTTTTATATTTTATCTGACGTTTTGGTTAGTTTACAGAAATACTAATTTCGGACAGATCACTTATATTTCGTCTGATAATAATACATGCGCATAGTAAATTCTAAAATCATAGCTTCATTTAAGAAATAACATATATTTGCTTATAGAACAAACTTAGGTACATAAGTTTATTACAGGCAATGCATATGAATTATGCTCTATTTAGTGAATGAATAATCACAAAATGTAGGTTTTGTAAACTAATAAATTATAACATGTGGAGTTATGATGTGTGTTTAGAAGTTATTTTTATCTAATTAGAGTGTTTCTTATTTGCTTGATTTCATTAACTAGGTTAAATCTAGTCTTGAGCTCTTTGGATGTATGTAAATACATTGTCATAGTAAGAATATTTTTTTATCAATAGTTATTTAATCTTGAATAAAGTAATATTGATTTATTTATGTACCAAAAGTAGAAATAGTATTAGTATTATATATTATTAATAAAATGTTATGCACAAAGGATAACTTATCTCTTAAATATATAATATTAATATATTGTTAGGTATTGTTACTTTCTGTTTACTCAAACGGTTATAATTCTGAGAGATTAACTTATAAAGTGGGTTATTATAACCCACAATATGTTTTAAAATCTGCCAACAAAAATTTATTCAACAAAAAATGTTATGTTATGCTTATGTTAATGAATGAGTGTTGATAAGAAAAACAAATATCAGGTGACTGACCTACATCATTAATATTGGTGTCAAACTACATTATATTGCCATCACTCATTATTTTATTGGCTTTTTTGTTATACTTAGATAATTGTATATCAAAATATAGGTCGGAATATTAAAAAAAGACAATATATTTAACCCCTATGTCTTAGAACTCTTTGTTGTAAATAAATAACCATACATATATATTTAATCTCTTAACATTCTAATTTGTCATTAGTGCTTTTCTCATTTCAAACCAAAGTAAAACTCAGTATGTATTTGAATAATATATATATGTAAAAACTTACAGATAACATTATGTCTCCCAAACATATGTTTAAGATTATATATACAGGGTGACTGGTGAATTACTATCAATATTTAAGGAGCATACTCGGTACATGATTCTCATTCGAATTATGTAAAAAAAATAGGTACTTAAATTTTGACCAAATTTCCGTATAAATAAATAAAGTGTGGACACGTTCCAAGTGTTCCTAGTGTGAACTTTTGGTTAACTTTACTTAGAAGTTTATTAATATTTATGTTATATTAATTTTTATTTTGTCATATATGATCGTCAAATATCACGTCCTCAAATATCGATAGTAATTCACCAGTCACCCTGTAGAATAGTAACCCTAAAATAGCTTAGATATGTACTATAAATGACTTAATATTAAGTATTATTGATAATTTATATTGTTACCAGGTAAAGGTGGTCCTACAATGGAGTCAGCTGAGGAAGATGACGAAGAGCTGGCTACGAGAGTGGAACAGGACTCGAGGGGCATCAGGTTGAAGTATGCAACCGCTAAGTGGATAACATCACACACAGAGAATACACTCACGGATTTATCACTCACTGTGAAACCTGGAAAGTGAGTAACTGAGTCAGTCATACTTCTTAAATACTACAAGGATATGCAGCTTCGAATTCTTTTTCTCACTTTTGCTCAAAAAAAAAGCTCTATGTGTCAGTTGGGTGAAGTGACTTCAGCGTTTCAGTATAAAATCGTTTATTTTGGACATAGGTTCTGTTTTCTGGCCTCTTAAGTTGAAATTGGTGAACGAATCTAATTTTAATATTTAACTTCTCACCTTATACAAATAGGTCAAAAGAAGATCTGTGTTGCCAGCTCAATTTACAAAATATCTCAATTACCTATATATTTCTTCAAATTTTTCTCTACATAAAAATTTCACATTATGTTACACGAATAATTTTATCATGTCGACTTTCAGATTAATAGCAGTGATAGGTCCAGTGGGTGCTGGTAAGTCATCTCTGCTGCATGTGTTGTTGAAGGAGCTGCCGCTACACTCGGGCAGCGTACACGTTGGTGGTACTATCTCGTATGCTAGTCAGGAGCCCTGGCTTTTTGCAGGTAATATATTAATTTAATTATTTATATGCCAGTAACAATTATGTTTTATATTGATTATATTATAATAAGAAACTAATAGTTTGTGAGGGTTAAATTTATAAAGTTATAAGTTTCTTGTGCTCTATCTAATATTAAAATAACATTTATGTATTATAGATGAAGCCATTAAAATACCATTACAACACTAAAATTACTATTAAAAATATTTATAATACTAGTATAAAAATATACAATATCATAAGTAATTTGTATGTATGTTATGTCCAGGTAGCGTCCGTCAGAACATTTTATTCGGACAGGCGATGGATCGTCCCCGGTACAACGCTGTGGTGCGGAGATGTGCACTGGATAGAGACTTCACACTACTACCGCACGGAGACAAGACGGTGGTGGGGGAGCGGGGGGTCAGTCTCAGTGGAGGTTAGTGGGGGGGGGGGGACATTTGAATCGAGTAATGTCTTCTTTTACCTGGCAGTTTCCCAGCTTTAGCCAGGGTCTACCTTTACATGTTGTGAATAGTTTGGCTTATTGTTTTTACGACCGGCCGCCTGCTTGACATCAACCCTCTTAGGGAATGCATTAATCAGTGATGTCTACATACTCTTAGAAAGTACATATGACCCGAAAAAATCACATTGGTATTTGCCCGGGCCAGGATTGAACCCGCGTCCTCTTGCATGAGAGGCGGGCCTTCTAACCACTAGGCCTACTACCCACTGACTGAATCGTGTCATGTATAGGGATACAAATAAAGTTTCACTGTTTTGCCTATATGTAGTTCTAATTGGGAACTATAAAGTATCAAAAAAATGGCTTTATAAATATAATTTTCATACAAATACCTATTGGTATATAGAAATGAATAATATTGTAGCATGATTTTAATAAGAGATGAGATTAATAATAACTATATATTTGTCTCAGGTCAGCGTGCTCGTATCTCCTTAGCGCGTGCCGTGTACAAGCGCGCGGATATCTATCTGTTGGATGATCCTCTATCCGCGGTAGACGCGCACGTCGGCCGCCATCTTTTCGAATCGTGCGTGGTGGGCTACCTCAAGAACACTACTAGGGTGCTTGTGACGCATCAGCTGCAGTTCCTGAGAGACGTCGATCAGGTCTGTACAGATATTTAACAGATAAGGACCAAATAATAAGTGAAGTAGTCTTTAATGGCTGCGTTTCGTCCGGTGAGTGAGAAAGCCTGTTGCCCTTTCCTTTTCCCACCCTTTAATGCCTTTTCCTTTCACTCACTTAATTTCACTCCCGTTCCCACGTTTTCCTCCCCCTTTTCTGCATTCAAGGGTGGCAACACATCCGTAAATCTACGTTGCAGATGTCCATGGGCGAAGGTACTACCTCCATCAGGTAGGCTATCTGCTCCGTTACCCCTTTTCCCATAAATATATATATATATATATATATATATATATATCTTCTTCTTCTACCTGGCAATTTCCCAGCTATAGCCAGGGTCTGCCTTACATATTATGAATAGTTTTTGGCTATTTGTTTTTACGACCGGCCGCCTGCCTGACATCAACCCTCTTTTGGGAATCAACATTAATCAGTGATGTCTAAATACTCTTAGAAAGTACATATGATTCCGAAAAATCACATTGGTACTTGCCCGGGTCAGGATCGAACCCGCGCCCTCGGCGACAAGAGGCCGAGAGGCGGGCCCTTTAACCACTGAGCCACCATTGACCTATATATATATATATATATATATATATATATATACTAGCTTTCCGCCAGCAGCTTCGCCCGCGTGGAGTTCGGTTATATCGCGTTTCTAAGAAAACCTTTCAAAAGTCTGGGATAAAAACTATCCTATGTTCTTTCTCAAGGTCAACTCTATCTCTGTACCAAATTTCATTAAAATCAGTTCAGTGGTTTAGGCGTGAAAGCGTAACAGACAGACAGACAGACAGAGTTACTTTCGCATTTATAATATTAGTACGGATATCAGGTCTCATGTGATGTTAATATTAACTTTTTCCATTACAGATTATCATATTAAAGAACGGTTCGATAGCGGCTGCGGGTGATTTCGAAACGCTCAGCGCTTCAGGAATGGACTTCGCCACGTTACTGGCGAGGGGAGAGGAGGAAGAGCGACCAGCTCCTGAAGAGAAATCCATTGTGGAGCCGGAGGAATCAGTGCTCCAAGGAAGTTTCAGGAAACGGCAGATGAGCATACATTCGGTAAGTGGGATTATTTAATACTCACGACAAATAAGAACTTATGTTATGTATGTTTTTGCCTTAATCTTTAGATACCACTGTATATAAATGCAGAATTTATAAAAGGAAAATCCATTATATCAGCATAATTTTATTATACAGTTTAGTTTAGTCTTCTATAATATTATGACGACTATATGTAAATTTTTATTACTATTAATATATTAAATAACATACTGTACCATACTACACATACATATTTACATTACAGGTCAGTTCGGTGGATAACCTAACAGCCACGGCGCCGCCAGAGGGCGGTAGGGAGGAAGCGGAAATGCGATCAGCTGGAGCTGTTTCCGGTGCTGTATACGGCGCCTATCTAGGTGCAAGCGGACATCCGCTGATGGTTACTCTAATGGTACTGGTAGCTGTGCTGGCGCAGTTACTAGGATCTGGCTCTGATTGGTGGACCAGTTTTTGGTGAGCTCTCTTATTTGTTGTAAAAGAGCAGACTATTTGGTAATGATGCTGTTCATCTTAATAAACATTATTTTTTATTGCTAGAACATGTTCATTTCTGTGCAATTTGTAGATATTTGTACTCTTTGTACACTCAATAAGCCTGAAAGTTTCCCAGAAGTTTTTTTAGTCACTGACCATTTTTTTGTTGTTATAAATAGAGACCTTCTATTACTAAAGGTTTACTTCATAGAAACATGTCATTAAGTTTTAGTAATATTAATAACTAATAAAATAAATCCGGATGATTGTTATTTTCATGTAAAGGGTCAATCAAGAGGAGGATCATCCAAAGTCAGTGTTGAGGACACTTGACTCGAGTAACACATCAGGTCCTTTACAGTACTCATCAAACTTCACACAAGCTCTGCTTGAAAACGCACACTTCAGTTCCGGTCTAACCAGATACGACTGCATTTATATTTATACTGGTATATAAATCTTAATATATATTTTTTAAACTCTAATATATATGAATTACTATTAAAAAGTATCATGACTATTAAAAGAAGAATCTCTAGAATTGATTATTTGAAGTGACCAATAAATGTACAACTGAAATGAGCCTTCAATAATTTTTTCTTTGGTATTCATCTACATATTATATTTAAAATTTTGTGACTTCTATTATTATTTAAATATAAAGGTCGATTTACATTAAACGAGCGAATGCTCTTTCTATCCCCACTACATCAAATTCTTCTAGTGTAAACAGGCGTAGGGCATTCTTTCATTGTTCTTAGTGCGTTCACAAAGATTCTATACAATATTCTGAGAATGCTCGCTCGCTTGATGTAAACGGCGCAAGAGCGCACGAACAATTGGCTAGAGCGTTCTAGCGTGTTCGGACGTGCTCGCGCCACTGAACAGTTTCATCAAAGCGTTCTTGTATTCTAGGGATTGTTTACGTATTTATTTATTTGATTTTCGAATTTTTTCACTTGTCAGAGATAGTAAATGATCAAAATCGTCTGGCGCCATTCTACAAAAGTTTTGGAATTGTCCACTTTCTTCTTGTTTTCGGATATCCGTCACAGTTTCACCGACATTGTCCAGTATCCTTCGATGCATTAAATTTCTAACCCACCAACGTCTCTTCCTTCTTTTATGTTTAAGTTTTTGCGACAAAACAATACATGCAGCACTTGCAATAATGATATCGCTGTCAGAGTCAGACATAACGAAGCACTACCAATTCTAACCACAGAATTGAGACGAATGAGCAAAACACATTCGATCTGGCTTTCGTTTACACTAAAAGATTACGAAAGAATGCTCTTGTTTTAACGCTAGCTCCATGTTCGTTTGATGTAAACCGGCCTTAAGAAGAATACAAATGCTTAATAATATCTGTTACCCCCAGGTATGGTGGTGTCATTGGTGGTGATATCTCTACTCCGGTCATTCATGTTCTTCTCTATGGCGATGCGTGCGTCTACTCGGCTACACAACAACATGTTCAGTTCTATAACACGCGCCCCGATGAGATTCTTCCATACTAACCCATCGGGGAGAATCCTCAACAGATTCTCAAAGGACATGGGAGCGGTTGACGAAGTACTCCCGGCTGCCTTGCTTGATGTATTACAAGTGAGTATTATATACAGATAGAAATTTTATTACATATTTCATAAGTTTAAGGCTTTACTATCAGTTCATTATTCAATACTAAACTGTAAGTATAATTAAGAGTTTATAATAAGTATATTAATAAACTTTTAAGTTTGTATAGAGGGGGCGTTGAAGTATTACGTAAGCAGATTAATTACAATTATTTACCCCCTCATCCCCCTTGTCAGCAAAAGTAAGCAAAGCTCTTACCCCATCCTCCCCCCATGCTTACGTAAACATTTTCAATTACTATATTTTTTTTAAATGTAAGTCCAGAAAATATATATAATTGTATTTTTTTATGGATCTACTCGATGTGAAGATTAAAAATTAATAACTACCGATGACGTAATCGATACCTAGACTCCCCTACCCCCATGACATCCAAAATAAGCAAAGCAAAGACCCCCGCCCCTCCATAGTGCTTACGTAATACTTGAACGGCTCCAGATGTATGTATACTTTTCTCCGTATCATGACGAAACTACTAAGCATTTTGTTTAAATCAAATCCACATAACATAATGTGCTTTAATGCATGCTGCGGTTGAATGTATATCAATCAAATCACGTACCACAGGCTACAGATGTCGCTGTTGATTTTCAATAGTTTAAACACATTTGTATATAAGTATTTGAATTTGAGTGTACTTATGAAACTTATTAGTAGCATTTAATTCCAGATCGGTCTGTCCCTAATCGGTATAGTGGTAGTAGTAGCGGTGGTTAACTTCTGGCTGTTAGTCCCCACACTCTTCATAGGTCTGATCTTCTACGGTCTCCGTATATTCTATTTGTCGTCCAGTCGAAGCATCAAACGCCTCGAGGGTGTGAGTGAGTCATCTAGTAATTTGTTCATTTTTTTAAAATTAATATATGTATATTATGTATTATATGTTATATAGGGCACTGTTTTACATGTAGTTTAAGTTTGTTGCAAGCATAACTTTATTATTCATGTATTTTCATAAATGTAGTATTAATTACAAATATTTATATTCATTAGATTCCGTTCGACTTAAAGTAGAAAATAAATAATTTCAAATACATATAAGTATGTATATATTAGTTAAACCATATTTAATATTAAAGAAACAGTTTTTTCTCCTACATATCATATCTAATATATTATCATAATATATTCCAGCTCGCAGCCCAGTGTTCTCTCACCTCAACGCGTCTCTTCAAGGCATCACTACTATCCGTGCGTTCGGTGCGCAGGAAGCCCTCATTAGAGAGTTTGATAATCATCAGGATCTACATAGCTCTGCCTGGTATGTATAATAAAATAGTATTATTTATATCTTCTTCTTCAACCTGGCAATTTAACAGCTTTGGCCAGGGTCTGCCTAGGCTGCCTAGTACTATTTATTTACACATATGTAAATTTTTTAGGAACGTTTATTAGGTATTACCTAATAAACGTATATTTGTTTGTAATTTAACTTTATGAACAACAACACAATATGTATGCCTTTTGTTAATAAAACAACAGATTGTTGTCTAGGAGAGATTGCTTCTTACCGTGAATTATACCATTGTATTAGAATTTAGTTTTTTTATTTGTTGATTTAAAGATTTTGGTGTAAAATAGAGGATAATCATGATATATGTTTGTAGGTACTTATTTATAGCCAGTTCCCGCGCCTTCGGTTTTTGGTTGGATCTCGTATGCGTTATATACATTGCTGTAGTAACGCTCAGTTTCCTCGTGTTTGGACAAGGTAAATACTCTATTAGAAATTATCAAAACTCTTAATAAATGTTACTTATAAAATGTCCATAAATATGAACTATTTTTTGTTTGTAGAGGAGTATGGTGGTAAGGTCGGTTTAGCCATCACTCAAGCTATGGGGTTAACGGGTATGTTCCAGTGGGGCATGAGACAGAGTACGGAACTTGAAAACCAGATGACCAGCGTTGAGAGGTACATAGAGACATTTAAATTTTTTTTAATAAGGAGTTTCACAAAAATACTAGGAATGTAGACAACTTAAATATTGTACATTACTACCGAAACAATCATTAAGATTTTCAAAAATGAATAAGTATTTTCCTCAGAGACTTAGTATGTATTGTTTATAAATGTAATTTGTAAATATGTAAGCGAGCCTTTTTATACACGTACTGAGTGGCTCACGTTACGCTGTCAGTTCATATGTTTTTGCTATTGTTTTTGATATATAAAATTCGACAGGACGAAAACATTTCGTTCAAATTAATTTAGGTTTTTATTATCTTACTAGCTTTCCGCCCGCAGCTTCACCCGCGTGGAGTTCGGTTATATCGCGTTTCCAAGAGGACCTTTCAAAAGTCTGGGATAAAAACTATCCTGTGTTCTTTCTCAAGATCAACTCTATCTATGTAACAAATTTCATTAAAATCAGCTCAGTGGCTTAGGCGTGAAAGCGTAACAGACGAACAGAGTTACTTTCGCATTTATAATATTAGTAGGGATATGTAACTTGTCAGAATTATATAAAACCCTAAATTCATATGAACAGGATACAAGAATATTCGAACATAGAATCTGAGCCGCCTCTCGAGTCTGAACCTAGTAAGAAGCCCCCGCCGTCATGGCCGGACGCTGGTCGCCTTGAGTTCAAACATGTATACCTGTACTACACGCCCGGGGAACCCCCGGTGTTGAAGGACCTCAACTTACTGGTACTGCCCAAAGAAAAGGTCGGCATAGTGGGTAGAACGGGAGCGGGGAAGTCCTCACTTATTAACGCCCTTTTCAGGTTAGTAACGACAACTTACTCGTACTAAGAATAGTTCTAATATGACCTATGAACAGAATTATTATTAAAAGATTCTCGTGAAAGTAAAATGTAATATTTTATACAGATAATAAATAAACAGTTTAATTATTCGAAATGTGTTGCTAGTATGAAAAAAATATATATAAAAAATGTATAATCTTTACAGATTAGCTAAAATTGAAGGAGAGATTATAATAGATGGCAGGGAGACGTCACAGTTGGGTCTCCATGAACTAAGGAGTCAGATCTCCATCATACCACAAGAACCTGTTCTATTCTCCGGCACCATGAGACACAACCTGGATCCATTTGATGAATATCCTGATCAAGTACTGTGGAGGGCTCTAGAAGAGGTAAAGATTTATATATACTAGCCTTTAGCAAAGTTGGCGATAAATCCACCTTGTGGGCGCTGTTAGGTCTAAAGGGGGTGGTAAAACACAAAAAGGGGGGTTGTGTAGAAATCTACGGGTGATTTATATTTTCATTTAAGGGTCGTTCAAGTATTACGTAAGCACTATGGAGGGGCGGGGGGTCTTTGCTTTGCTTATTTTGGATGACATGGAGGATGGGGGGCTAAATAATTGTAATAAATCTGCTTTCATAATACTCGAACGGCCCCTTAGCTGGGATTAGTTAATTAGTTATAAAGTGCTTTATCAGAAGGTGAAAAAATTATTTATTCTCAAAGTGATAAATAGACAAAATAAGATTGAGAATCCCTGATATCTTCAGGATATATAAGATTCAAAGAAATGTGAACATTTTTTCTCCTAAATTTCTCTAATAAGGGTACATTGACCTGTGTTTGTGTACACATCCATAATATTAATGTTTCTCAACCAGGTGGAGTTAAAGGAAGCCGTGAACGAGTTGCCCGCTGGTCTCAGCTCCCGTATGTCTGAAGGCGGCGGGAACTTTTCCGTGGGGCAGAGACAGCTGGTGTGTCTCGCGCGGGCCATCGTGAGGCGGAACAGACTACTAGTGCTTGATGAGGCAACCGCTAACGTGGACCCACAGTGAGATATATATATAATAGCTGCGAACCGCGGTGTTACTCGCGGATGTAAATCAGCCTATGTGCTATTCCTGGACGTCAGCGTCTTGTATACAAAATTTTATTAAAATAGGTTCAGCTGTTTGAGCGTGAAGAAGTGACAAACATACGTGAGTGTATGCACACTCACAAACTTTCGCAATTATAATATTAGTAGGATATTAATGAGGAAACTGACACACAAGCGACATTTAATAACTATCAGCTGTCGTCCGTTTGTCATATGTCCTTAGACAGAACTTAGTCCTTATTATAGCAGTCGTTTGGTTTTTTGTTAAGTTTAACATCAGTATTTTATTTTCCAAAGTGTGTAATTACATTATTAGCCGAATTTTTCTACTTTAAAGTATTTTATACCCACATTTCAAATTGTTTCTTTATTAAGCTGTTGTGTAATCGGTGGATACTGGTTGCTGTAATTTTAAATGATAAACAAATTTAATATGTTATAAGTAGTAAATTAAAGAATAGAGTCTACAGATATTTTAATATTTAAAAATATCTGTAGACTCTATGCAAAGCCTTACTCTCTCTATTATGACATTAACACTTGTCAATTAAAATAAATATTCGAACCCATTAATTTTATTCCATGTCGTGTAAAATTGTATAGCAAAAACTATTACTATCATTTACAAGTGTAAAATTGAAATAACTATTTATGAATCTGATATTTCTATATACTTTTTATATTCATCACATTTTTAGTATTCATATTTAATCAATGTTTTTATACATTTAATATGTATTTCCAGAACCGATGCGCTCATTCAAGCTACAATAAGAAACAAGTTCGCTGATTGCACCGTGCTCACCATAGCTCACAGACTACACACAGTCATGGACTCAGATAAGGTAATATTAATCTGTTGGATATCTATCTAAAGAAAAAAAGTTTCATGATAATTCGTTCAGTAATATCAGTCCATACAGCCTTATACAGGGTGACTGGTGAATTACTATCAATATTTAAGGAGCATACTCGGTACATGATTCTCATTCGAATTATGTAAAAAAAATAGGTACTTAATTTTTGACCAAATTTCCGTATAAATAAATAAAGTGTGTACACGTTCCAAGTGTTCCAAGTGTGACGCGTGCGGCGGCGTGCTGATACAACACTACGCCGCCGCACGCGTATGTGTGAGTGTGTGTGTATACCTAATCTGTAGGGTGTTCATACGACGCGTAATTAATTACATAACTTTTGGTTAACTTTACTTAGAAGTTTATTAATATTTATGTTATATTAATTTTTATTTTGTCATATATGATCGTCAAATATCACGTCCTCAAATATCGATAGTAATTCACCAGTCACCCTGTATATTAATTAATATGTTATTTGAGTCATATAACAACTTAAACTTCTTTATGACATAAAGAACTATAATCATCATCATACTATTAGAGCCCACTGCTGGGTAAAGGCCTCTTCTCACATGTAGAATGTTTAGAATTAATCATCACGCTTGTTCAAGACGGGTTGGCGATTTGAAACTTATTGGCAAATATAAGTCCCAGTTTCCTCAAGATGTTTTCCTTCACCGTCATGTCAGTGATGTCTAAATACTCTTAGAAAGTACATATGACTTAGAAAAATTACATTGGTACTTGCCATGTTTTGAACCCGCGCCCTCGTGCACGAGAGGCGGGCCTTTAATATCTAGGCTTGTAGTAGAACTATATAATAATAGTAGTAATATATATTATAGGTGTTGGTGATGGACGCCGGCAGTATGGTTGAGTTCGATCACCCTCACAAGCTGCTGCAGCAGACGGGCGGCGTGCTGCGGGGGATGGCGGAGCAGACGGGCAGGGCCACGTACGACGGGCTGGCTAGACAGGCCAAGATGGTGAGCGATATATACAATATGTAGCTGACATGGCAATACTGATAACATATGGTAACATAGCCAACATGGCAACACCATGTATTGGCTGATAACACAGGCGAACATGGTAATACAATGTATTATATGATAGATCAATATGGTAACACTGTAATATATTCTTATTAACCCACGTATATAAGGTTATATTATAGTGTACAACAATATTGCATATACATATATGTATAAAAATATTCATTCATTAAATTTCAAGAATTAAAATTCTAAACTTCATGTTTTTTAGTTCACATACATTGTAAATATTTAAAAAAATGTTTGTGAAAATGTACATACATAAATAAATGGTACATATGATTTTATAGATATGGCATATAGATAATGGCATATATAATATATATATATATATAAAATTAAATAATCCCTAAATACGCAACCGAATTTATTTCTAACACTTTTTCGTTGTTTTGTTTCAGGCATACGACAAGAAGTATTCACGAGACGGGAAGGAGAGCGAATGAGGCTTGTAATGAATGATCTGTAAACGATTCGAATATATAATGATCTTTGTATAACTTGAGAGATTATATACATTTATAAATAACACAATGCGGTAGAAGAAACTCGTTTTTATATAAAAAGAACCCGTTTTCGGGATAATGTGCCTGACTCTCACAGAAACCAAAAGTTACTTAACAAAAAATCTCCTAAATTATTATTATTAATTTAATTCAATTAATTATTAAGAATAGCGTGTTAACATTGCTAATGTACCAACATGTCGACCACAAACATATTGTAAGCTTTGTGACAAACTGTTCCGAGATTTGAGGCGATTTATGAGAATTTTTAAGCAATAATAGTTTTTGAAACATCTAAATTTGAATCTTCCGTACTTCTGGTAGCAAATATTGTTTTGATTCTGTAATAATTATAATATTTCTTATCAGATGTCCGAGTGTGACTTAATTATTTGATATAATAACATACTCGGAACAGTTAGTTGCATTGAACCAAATTTTATTGAAATGTAATAAATATCACACACCAAGCTCAAACAAATCGTAATGTTCCTCGTTGATTATAATAACTCTGATCTGTTAAATAAATTAATGTATAAGAATCTGTTAATTATATGTAAGGTGCTAGAATGTTCGAGTACTTAATGTTAAGTAGTTAAAATTAATTAGTAATGTTATCATTTGTTAGTTGTAAACGGTCGCTCCGTCACGTAATCATGTTTGTTTGTACTTAGGATTATATGAAATTGTATGTGATGTATGCAGCAGTTACCGGCGAGGACCTTCGATGTGTGATCGTCCGGTCCACGCCCATGTAATTTGTGTGATATTGAATTTAATATTTAATATTTCCAGTGCCTGGCTACTTATGAATCTTATTTTTAATAAGAAATTTGTTAGAATTTTATTACAACGAAATACAATTTTTTATATTTGCACAAATCTTTTTATTATTTTTTAAATCCTGTTTACTATTTAATTACAACTTAGATTGTTATATAAAATACAATAACTCGTAATATCAATTCCTGGACACTTGTTAAATTTTTTACATTATTTTTTAAGTACAAGTAACAGAATTATTAATCAGATGGTTTCAAAATTCTTAGATACTGCTGTATCTTATTTTCCTTGTATTTTTCTTCATCAATTCAAACGCCCCAATAATGACATCACACATATCCCTGAATATAGAGACCTACTTTTGTAGAACGCTATATATATGGATAGAAAGTAATGGTATCTATATGCATTTTTAGATATTTTTATTGACAATAAACAAACAACGTCTTTTGTTAATGTTTGATGAAACTTACATTTTCACTGTAAACCGTAATAGAGCAAGAGCCCGTGAACCCCAGACCTTCGTTATTTTATAAAAGCTGAAAGTTTGTCAGCGCATGCTCCCAACACAGGTAAGAACGAAGGTCCATTATGAAATTCGGGTTGTAGTGGCTTTGGCAGGTAAACGGTACTAAAGGTGTGTAAAATACTAATATAGTTTCGTCAAATTATACAGAGCGATTTTTTGGTATTACCTTTAGAATGTTATTAAAAATCACATTATTCATTACCAGACACTTAACATCGTGGTAACCCCTTGCCAGACACCCTTAATGTTCAGGGTATAATAATTCTACTTACGTTATAGTATAAAAGCTGATTTTTATACAGGATACTTGGGTAATGAGTAGATGATATTTTCTCAATAGCCAGACATTTTTGATAGTTCCAACCCCTTGCCAGACAAGTATGTAGGGTCGCTGTAGAAACGAGCGCGAGGTAGTATATATATGTGAGTGCGAGTGAGATGGCGAGTTAGGTCTATTGCGATCCCTGAGCGCGCAGCTGATATTTCCACAGCGCATGTATTGTTTAGTGCTCAGTATATGTTTACATCAACAAAAATAATGTAATATGACATCATGAAGCTTTATTAATTTAACATTTATTATTAATTAATAACATAGGATATTCCAAGTACATCAAAACTCCATCGATAAAAGATTATGAACATTCTCAGCGTTTAGAATCAGCACTACTAAGCTACACGATAACTGGACCTGATCAAACACGTCCGAGTGATTTTGCTAAAGAATTAAAGAATTCAAATTTTAAGCAAGCTCTAGTGGATTTTTTCATTCTGCATTGGGCCAGTCATGAAGTAATACCTTTCATTGGAAACAAAACTATCCACATTAATTCTAAACAGTGCCATTCTTTTGTTGTTAATGCTTCTAACAAAATAATAACAAGAATTGTAGAAGAGTTGTCTTGTCCAGAACATGAAGAGGCTGATACCAAAATAGTCTACCATGCGTGCAGTATTCCAAATAAAGGGAATATTGTGATCAGAAGTGTCGACACTGACATTGCAGCAATCATGCTTGGTCATATGCATCATCTACAAAATGACTCAATTATTTGGATGCTGATAGGCACTGGAAACAACTTAAGATACGTAGAGCTCACGAAGATTTATGTCAAGTTAGGAGAATCTTTTTGTAAGAGCTTGCCAGGATTCCATGCAATCACAGGCTGTGACTATAATCCCGCATTTTTCCGAAAAGGAAAGTTAAGGCCTTTTAAAATATTAAAAGGTTCGGAAGAATATCAAAAAGCGTTCAGTAAGTTAGGTAAGAACGAGTTATTTGAAAATGATAATGAACGACAAAGAATTTTTGATATTATTCAACAGTTTATATGCGAAGTATACAATGTTGGTTCGATAATTGATGTTGATGCAGCACGGCTTCAATTATTCATCAATACATATCAGGTCTCGGATATTAATGAAGCATTTAGTCGTAGAAAACTACGAAATTTTGACGCTAGTAGTCTGCCACCCTGTAAATCTGAACTGCTACAACAATTTCTGCGAGCCAACTATATATCTAGCATTTGGAATAATACAAACCATGAAATTCCATCAATTTATCAACCTGAAAAAAATGGATGGGTACTCGAAAATAATCAGTATCATTTTAAATGGTTCGAAGGTGATCAGTTACCAAATTTTGTCAGAGATTCATTGAAAACTGTCTCAGGTATAAATACTACTTCAAACCATTCAACATTTTTTTTATACTTTTAATCCAATAATATTTTTCAAATTTTTACAGAAACTGACGAAGAAGAAGAAGACCACAACATCGAATGGACCAACAGTGACGAAGAAAATAGTGACATTGATGGTGATTCTGATAGCGAATAAATTAACAGTATCTCTTATACACTATGATACTATGTCATATAACCGATCTATTTTTTTATCCTATGTAATAACTTGTAGTATCACGAATCTGTTTTTAATAAAATTTTTGAATTTTTGAAAAATATTTCTATTTGGTTTTTCTTTTTAACTAGTTACTGGAGGAATAAATTGAAATTTTTAACAATTCCGAGTAGTTGTAGCAACGAATGTCATTTCTGAAGAAATTTTTAAAATTTACATCAGTTATTTGTCACATAAATTGGCCAAAAAGTTTATTTGGATAAGTCATTCTAATCATGAATCTCTTTTTAACATTTACATTGATTGTCCGGCAGAGAGATTGAAAACAGAAAAAAATATCTGGCTAAGGAGGAAACATCATCTAATAACTACCTAAGTATTATATAAAAATGAGCGATTTAATTATAAAGTAAGTAATGCTATTATTGATATTTTTCTTATAATTAATAATGAATATTAAATTTATCTTTAAAAATAGCATATATTAATTTTACTGACATACGCATGTACAAAGTAGTAAACAATACAAGCGCATCTCACTCGCACTCACATATATATACTACCTCGCGCTCGTTTCTACAGCGACTCTACATACTTGTCTGGCAAGGGGTTGGAACTATCAAAAATGTCTGGCTATTGAGAAAATATCATCTACTCATTACCCAAGTATCCTGTATAAAAATCAGCTTTTATACTATAACGTAAGTAGAATTATTATACCCTGAACATTAAGGGTGTCTGGCAAGGGGTTACCACGATGTTAAGTGTCTGGTAATGAATAATGTGATTTTTAATAACATTCTAAAGGTAATACCAAAAAATCGCTCTGTATAATTTGACGAAACTATATTAGTATTTTACACACCTTTAGTACCGTTTACCTGCCAAAGCCACTACAACCCGAATTTCATAATGGACCTTCGTTCTTACCTGTGTTGGGAGCATGCGCTGACAAACTTTCAGCTTTTATAAAATAACGAAGGTCTGGGGTTCACGGGCTCTTAGACTATAAAAGTTTTTGTGACCTTTGATTAAGAGCATTGAACCGATGAAATTTTAAATCTGACTTGTACAATCATTACAAATTTCAGATGGCTGCGATTTAGTGAAACTTAACTCCTACTTTTTCTTTATTCAGAGTAATTGTACCCAGTTTTGGTCTTCAGTTTGAATTTTTTATTTACTCACTTAATATTGCCTTATTTTGTTGCTTTCAAAGTTACCAATGACAAGTGCTACACTTAAAAAATGTATAAAGGTACAAAGAATCACGATACTGGCAGAATATACTGTGCCCGTCTTTGCTCCGATGAAGGCCATATTTAAAACAACAAACCAACCAACCAAGTGCAACGAATGTGAATGAAGACAAATATAGAAAAAAAGTGTAAAGAAATCCATTTTATATGATTTGAAAAAAATAAGTATTTTATTTCATCATAATAGTTCAGTCATTTAAGGCATTTTAAACCCCAATCTGGGGAATAATTCCTAGTGAGCTGAATTTCTATATACACCTTTATTAATTATTATGGAGTTGTGAAAAATCGATAGCATGCCGGCTGAAAAAAATGTAGTCACGAAAATCTCTTTTTTGCAAATATTTCGCGCTCGGAAGTCGATAGAGGTCATTATAAAAATTAATCCTCATAAAATTAACTACAAAAACATCTCTTGCAGTTTTTCTGTAAACTTAACAGTTTTCGGATTAAAGCGCTGCGAAAGCGAATAGAATACACTCACATACGGTACCGTATGCCGTACACCACGACGTAAACTATTGCTTTTATTAATATTTCAAAGTGTCTTAAAACTTTTAATTATATATTTAGACGTTTCGAGAAAGATATTTATATCGCATAGAGGTTTAGGTTTTTTAGTGAGACATTATAATCAAATTCAAAGACATTTCAAATGTTTGAGGGTTTTAGTAAGACGTACGATATCTCATAAGAAAATTATAAATGGTGCTATTGGGTTTGGACTTAATTCATATTGTAAATATTCACAAAGACTCTCTTAATTTTTTTTATTTAAGCTGATTCGTTGAAATAGCTATAGCGGATCGATCACTACCTTACTGATGATAATGGTATGACTCTGTTCTGTAGTTTCTGTATCAACAGGAATTATTGGTAGTTATGACATTGTTGACAAATGGAATTGAAAATGATGACAAATTGGTTACGTAAGTTTTATTTTTACTAAAAGTTACAGAATGACAAATCTTCACATGCTACAAATGATGACACAAATTTACTCCTTTTGAATACTGTCGTGTGAAAAATCCACAGATCGTTATCTGCGGAACAAATAATTTTGTTACAGGAATCACTAACGCCATGACCTTGATTAAAATACTTATTAAACAACTACCTTTTATAATGGTTTTAAATGTCGTTGCGCCAACATAAAGATCATTCGTTTCATAACGCACTCAAAAAGGTTATATTTTAATAAAACAATAATAGCAGTCGTTTACTTCTTTATTTTTTTCTGTTTATTATTAATTTTCGCTTTATATTTTCAACTTATTTCTAACAAGAAAATAATAATTGTGGAATGTAATGAGTACATCATACTACAAGAGATATACAATATCTGATTTTAAATACTTATCAATAACAACATTGCGCGATACAATATACAGACCACGTTAGAAAAATAACTTCTACAGCAGCGATATGATACTTACTAACTATAATTCATTTTATCTAAACAGTTACGATCTCTAAGTCACTTCACAGGTTCACCGTCCAATCTTTTATCACAGACCACAAAATCGTCACGACATCATTTGTGTAATTTAGACAATTTCAAACATAAAACTAATTAAAGATAGAACTAGAGAAAGGATAGTCACAAAAATATATATTGATAGACGATAGACATACATTACACGTAGCTAAACATAAATTAGAATAAATAGAATAGAACCAAAACATTTTAATAATAATTGTCATGTTGAACAATTTCCCTTTGGCACATGAAAGAGAAACGAATTTTATATAGATTAGACGAGGAAGATACTGAGATCTTAGAACTATACAGATTCCGTGTTATCGAGTGTACGTATAGTAGTTAGGTCAAGGTCAGTCTCTCCAGGTAATGTTCGTAAGGTAAGGCCGGGGTACACTGAGCTCATCACTACACTACATACAGTCTAAGTCTCCACAGACTTCAAGTCTAGCTTGTGTCAGTCTCACACGAGCGCGGTCAGACTTCCCGAGCGAGAGTTTTTGCTCTCTTCAGTTTCAACCGCGTGTTTTTCCTGTAACAATATACTTTGTATTAATAATGTATGACTAAAACAAAGTTAGTCGAAAATTAAGTTTTATTTAATTTGTTATCAGCCTATCAGAACCTGCTGAGCAAAAGGCCTCTCCTCACATGGAGAAGTTTTAAGCATTAATCACCACGCTTGCTCAAAACGGAACGATGATTTCAAACTTATAATTCGAAATTATAAGTCCAGGTTTCCTTCACCGTCTGTCAGTGATGTCTAAATACTCTTAGAAAGTACATATGACTCGGAAAACTCATGTTGGTACTTACAAGGATCGAGCGGTTTTATTTAACATCATCGGTTTATTCAATAAGTCATAATAGTATATGGCCTAGTGGTTAAAGGGCCCGCTTTTGCTCAGCAGTGGGCTCTGATAGTATATATCCTATAAGTAACATAATATATATATATATATATATATATATATATATATATATATATATATATATAGTAGTTATACCTGTGTCCTGGCGGGTGGTAGCGGCAGCGCCAGTCGTAGCTGCGTCCAGAAGGCCCGCTCGTGCACGTGTCTCCAGGCCACGAGCCGAGTCCGTCTCAACACCTCCACCAGACTCTCTCCGCTCTCCTTCGCCTCACGCTTCAGCTTGGGCAGGTCCTGAGAGGAATTAACGTTTATTCAGTTTATATATAAATTATTATTCAGTTAAGAGTAGTTGTAACTAGTTGTTCATAGTTGTTGTTCAAGTTTACATATATTTTTGCTTAAATAGGCACTGCCATGTCAGTATTGTATCTTATCATAACATGTATATTCATTATATTGTTATAGCTTGCAATTCACAATGAACGAACTAAACAGTTGTTAAATTGTACATTAAATCTTAATGTGAAATTTATGATACTGAAGTGCTTTAAAATTATTAGGAAATATCACGTCTGTAAAGGAAATTTGAATAAACTGAATATTAAAAACTCTTACAAAGTAACACCACATTACATATAAAACGTATCGAATTTTTCATTCATAAACACCTTCATAATATAACGAATGAAACTGTTAACGCTCCGTATGTAGTGTGGCGATGTCAACTCGGACTAAGTACACAAATGGACAACTTCCATTGTCATAAGATCTAAGACTGCTATTATTTATTGGAATAAAACTAGTATTTTTCGCATTCGGTTGCTGCAAAATAACCGAAACGTCGAGAACCGTAGTAAAACTAAGAAATGTTAGTTTTAGTTCCAGTTCCAGTATAGTATTCTATATTGTTTACCTGTAGTAGGACCACGACAGGCGGCACGGGTAACGCCCGCAGCTGTCTGAGGGCCGTCAGCAGCTGTTGTGAGGAGTACTGGCACGGAGACAACACCGCCACCAGCGAGCGGCAGCGGGACACCTCACACACAAGGGAACTGTACCCTGGATATGAGAACATGAGGGTATTAGAGGACATACATAAAGTATATTACACGAATTGTAGGACTCTTGAACCTCCCCCCTGATGTGATGATTACACATTTTTTTAATTATAAGAGATGAAGAGAGGAGATTCGAGGTTATTAGGAGACATATAAGTATATCACACGAATTGTAGGACTATAGATCTTCTACCTCCGTCCTAGTTGCAGGTTGTGACATTTTTATAACCCCCCCCCCCCCCCCTGATGTGACGTCACACATTTTTTAACTTATGCATGTGTTTAAAATAATTGATAGAAAACAGCTATTTCTATTTTTTACTGATTTTTATTAAATACCTGGACTTTGAGTATAGTATTTTAAAATTTAATGTGTGACGTCACAAAATTATTACCCTTATTCCGTCCTTCAGTATTAAATTCAGTGATGTACTTTATGGCTGGCCACTTATTAAGTATAATCACTATAATACAAACTGCCACACAAGTAATTAACGGTACATATTAGTATTTAGTACTAACAGTTGTCGGGCGTGGTGGAGAGCGGCGCCGTGTGTACCCTGTACTTGTACTTGAGCGCGAGGGTCGGCAGCAGCGCGCCACGGACCAGCTCCCCGTCCACGGCCGTCCAACACACGCACACGTCGAACTCCTTCTCTAACACTGAAACACACACACATACATTATGAACAGGCATATACATGTGACATTTTTAAGAAACTTTTTTTTTTCTACAGCCGAGGGTTTTAACCTGCCAGTATTAAAATCATAATCTGTATGTCACCTCTCGCTCTATGCGCGGCGATTATGAACAGGCATATACGTGTAACTATAAAACTTTTTTTTTTTGGTACAGCCGAGGGTTTTCACCTGCCAGTATTAAAATCATAATAATCTATATATCACCTCTCGCTCTATGCGCAGCGGTGGCAGCCCTAGCCCGCGCGTGTCTCGCAGCGAGCAGCAGGCGAGGAGTGCAGCGTCTGTGCAGCACCAGGCCGGTCACCAGCAGCAGCACACCTGCAGCACCGCCCGCCGCCACCGCTCGCCACGGCACCCCTGCCCCGCCGCACCAACCCGACCCGCCGGCATCTGTACAATGGAATTTCGAACTTATCTACATATACTTAGAGCATATTTTTAAATAATTGTTCTCGAGTAGAACTCGGTATTGCAATATCAGCTTTAATGTTAATCAAAAAGAGTTTAGTTTGGAATGTACTCATACAAATCATTGCATTCTTTATAATTTCAGTCCAAACATTTTATTAAGGTAACCATTGTAGATTCAGACTTATGTATATTGTTTTAGAGTTTTTTTTTTGCTATGACACTTTTAACAGAGTCTTATTATATACTAAAATTAATGATGTTCGAAATATTTCTTTGAGGTAAGTATTGGAAATTCCGACTTATGTGTATTGTTTTAGAGTATTTTTTGCTATACCACTTATAATTAGTGTCTTATTATATACTAACATTTATAATGTACTGTGACGTAGCTCCTAGCGACCACGTCGTTACTGTGAACCACACACACGTATGTTCCGTAATCATGCGCCGATACCCGGGAGATGGTGAGGTAGGAGCCGATGATGTCCTCCACGTCCTCCCTGGACATATCATTAACATATCATTATCATAGGTTTCACTCTAGTATATAGAAAGTTAAGACGTTGTGATAATTTCAATCATGCTGTGTAGTATTGTTCTAAATAAAGTTCTATATCCTTTTTTTTTTGTATAGCGCTAGGATTCAATTTGGAATTAAAATATTCAATAATATATAATAATTCACATCCAAAAATATGTTATTTTGTATCTCCCAATATAATATGTAGGGATAGCAGAATTATTACATACTTAAACTGTATAACATACATTTTTTTATCAAACAACATTCAAATATATGTATACAGGGTGACTGGTGAATTACTATCAATATTTAAGGAAAATTTTTTATGCGACAGTCTTAGTCATTGAATTTGTGATAAATTCTTTAATAATTTTACAAAAGAAATATGTACTCTAATTGACAAGGATAATATCTTTTTTATACTTTATATTCAAACACGAATTACTATACAGGGTGACTGGTGAATTACTATCGATACTTGAGGACGTGATATTTGACGATCATATATGACAAAATAAAAATTAATATAACATAAATATTAATATACTTCTAAGTAAAGTTAACCAAAAGTTATGTAATTAATTACGCATCGTGTGAACACCCTACAGATTAGGTACACACACACACACGCGTGCCGGGGCGTGGTGTTGTATCAGCACGCCGCCGCACGCGTCCACACTTGGAACACTTGGAACATGTCCACACTTTATTTATTTATACGGAAATTTGGTCAAAAATTAAGTACCTATTTTTTTACATAATTCGAATGAGAATCATGTACCGAGTATTCTCCTTAAATATTGATAGTAATTCACCAGTCACCCTGTATATATTTTTTATGAAGGGAAATAAATTTTTCAAATATTTTAAACTCTAATAATGTTGACTCTATTTTACCCCAACAAACTCTGAACAAGTTCGCGTATGCATGACTTATGCTTGCATGTCATCAATTACTCTAATTTATGTACATTATCTTTTTTCTATAAACTCACCTCGTTGTTTTGATTTCCGTCTGCGAGGGAGATAAATCTCCTTCGGTACCATTCGGCCAAACCTTCCTCCAACGAAGATCCCGACCGGCATCCGCTAAATATGGACGACCTACAAATATAAATTATATATATATAGTTATTACAATAATTTTCTTAGGTTTTTTATAAAGTTAAATCAATAGATTAAATTCAAAATATTTTTCTTTCAGAACCCAATAACGACCCATCATCAAATTCAAAGTCAAATAATATCTTAAAGCAATTTCATTATAACTACATTGATTTTCCCTGGTATTTACTGTTACTATCTATATATGTGGCAAATCAGGACAAAATATTTTTTCATATATGTATGTCTATATGTATGTATATTTCTCGTAACAATGACCTTTGAAAATTCAATAAAAAAATTCCCAGAACCGCGGTACGAAAGCTGCGTAAAGATATCGCGTGTACGGAACGTATTATATTTAATAGTGAAAGTTGTTACCGATGAGAGCCTCGCAGAACAGACGGAGCTCACTGTCTTCCTCCACCCACTGGTCTTTCGATATGAACATCGTTTTGGGCGCGTCCGTAGGCTTTTCTGTGAAAGGGAAATAAGAAATTAATATATAAAACCTGTTTATCAATAATTTTTTATCATAAACATTATGCATCATAACGTTAATATATAAACCTTGATCTTTTAACGCAACAACATTATAAATAAGTAATTTCACCGCCTTTTTTATTTTAGTTAAACAGCTGACATTTTGTTCAATACTTGAATGAGGTTGAATATATACATTAAACCTTTTTGGTTATTATACCTAGTATATTCAATCTGACGGTATGCGTTTCGCTATGAGTTTCATTGCTGAGTTTGCACGTGTAGTTCCCTGAGTCGGATCTTGCTGCTCTTCTGGTATACAAGGTTTGATTGGCAGCTTCTGGATACAGTATCAAGTTGGAAACCCCTGCCGACCACGGGTAGGCCACGCCGTCTTTGAACCTAAAAGAATATTCACAAATCACAACTCAGTAATCAATACCACGAGCGCAAGTCTCGTATGAACCTCGCATATAATCACCACAAGTAAATCGACACCATACATAAGATTAATATGATATTCGCAAGCCATATGAAGCTGAGACGTGTAGCAGAACTAAGTTAGGCATCAGTCTTTGTTCGAAAAGGTGTGTTATTTTTCTCGGGAATAACATCTGTTCGGGCCATTTATTATATTACGTTATATGGGTAGTTTTTTTACGTAAATCAATAATAATATATGCGGGCGATTGTTCCAGAAGTTTAAGTGAATCCGTTACAAACGAGGAACACACGTAATATTTATGGAAACGGAAATATAAATTCGTAATCGTTCAATCGTTTCTCATTGTACATTAAGATCAGTGACGAGAGATGCTCTAAGGATATCATTACCCAAAAATTCTTGTAACAAACTTCTCGTTTCAAATAAGAATCGCTAAAATCTGAATTTAACATTGTATTGAAATAAAACCATCAAATAAAATACATTTTTGAACCTAAATGGAATATTAAATATTCAGATTTTTTATATTTCATTTCTTAATTAAGTTTCGATAGTATGTTATTATCAACACCTTGTAATTTAATTAAAATTGAAGTAAATCTATGCTAGGATAAAACTATTACTATGGACATTTTGTTGTACAATCGTTTCATATATTGAACTGTGCTTTCTAGAAGAAAAAATACGATATTGATTCTAAAAACTTTTTCAATAATTAAGAACTCTGTTAATGAACAATAGTTAGGTCCAGTGTATGATAAAGAAAGCTGGGAATAGTTTATTAAGAATCATCAATCATTTAAAGAAAAAAATATATACATATACATAATATCTAATAAATATCTAACTATATATAAATATATAACTGTTATAATTTAAAAAAGGTAAAAATTCAAATACACGAATTTTTTTATCAATTATTTAAATCTCGCTCAGACATACGTCAGAGTATTTGGAAAACCAACACAGATAAAAAATAATATTCTCTTTCATAGATGTAGATAATGATAACATGTTTTTAATATATAAATTGTGTGTAACGTGTAATGAGTCGTTATTCCTGTGTGTTCTGCACACAGCGACACAGCTGCCGCGACGATTATTCCACGAAATGACAATAACGTTATTAAAACCATACAATTGTACTAAGAGAATCTAACATACGAATCTCGGACATAATACAAGCATAAATATAGTTTATAACTATTATCTATATCTAGTAATTAATAATTATTAAATGTACGCGTATGTTTCATCTGTGCCAGCTGTATTTTGTTCACAATACAAATCCCGCGCAAACACACGTCAAATGTAAGTATTACGGTGAACAGTAAAATTTCGCGGCGGCCATTTTTGAATCGTTTGAAAGTAAAACAAACATTCGCTGGATGTTTAACAGCAAGGCCGCTTGTGGATCGTTTCTGAGAACACGTAGTATCGCGACCTCCTCAACATTCAATCTATGGCGTGGTTTCTAACATATATTTTACTTGCATCTAATTATTTTGAAACTTTAATACTGATATTATACGATATTTATGTCTGTACGGACATGTGATTGTGATGTAAGTTTCTGTGAATCGTATTAATGGGTATTGCGTAGCGACTACCGCTCTGTAAGCGTCGCCCCGGGAGAGCGTTAATATTTTTATATTTGTGAGAATAATGACTCATAAACCGAATATCACATGTAAACAAAAGTTACTAGGAATAATGGAATCCAATCGTTATAAACACACGCAGAACCGAGAGCCTCCAAAGTTTTATCATTAACATATAAAGCAAGTCGCGGAGTATGGAAAGAGAAATAATTTATTGAAACGTCTTGTGTCGCTCGCTGTAAAGCCGACGGAAATCCATAACATTGTGGACGGCTTGGAAAAAAGAACGAAAGCAAGGAGGCAGACCAGTGCGGTGCACTTTGTGGGCTCGGATGTTCGAATTTTTTTGTCGGTCCGTGCAAATGTTCATGCCGTGAGACGTCTCCTGTAACTGGGGGGCAATTATATAAAGATTAAGCCTCCGAGTGTATTATTATCTGCTGTACCTATACATTGTATTATGGGATGTAGCGGGTTGAATGTAGAGGAAAAAAATATGTAACATTACACCGAATGTGACTCGAATGGAAGAGTACTCGATAGTAGCTATATAATGAGACATTTAATTAATGATTTCGATCACTGGCGGAGGTTTTCTAAACGTATTGAGGGACCTTATTAATAAAACATAAGAGTATTCGGAGACTGATGTAAAAAATCGTCCCTGGATGAGTTCAGGGTCCGCGGGAGCTTGCATCTTGAGAATATTTCCAAAGGCGAACCGGTCTTTGACCCCAGTGTCGGGTTGCAAACGGTCCGCAGCCACAGATCATACAACAGACAATAAAACATTATACCGGACGAAACAAAAGAGTTTACATGGATTTATAAAAAAAAGAACATTACGTCAATCCCATTATAGGTATATATGTATATAATGTATAGAAAAAAAAGGCAAAACCATATTAATTTGAATAATAATTTATTTATATCTGTATATTCTTCATTTAAAAATTTAACGGTATAATTATTTTTTTTCACTGATTAAATATTAAAATGATTCCGTAGTTCTAATAAAGCCCTGTATTTAAGCGACAGAAGTTTTAAGGAAAAACTTGGGTAATTTTGCAATTATAGGTATGGCATTAACAAAAAGTTATTTTTTTGTAAGTAAAGTCGCGGAACACGAACGGTATATATAATTTTTATTTATCCGTCCGTTCCGTTCCGAGCGAACTACGTCATTTTTGTTTCTGAATGTAATTAAGTTGAAATATTTTGCTGATACGCATTAGTAATAAACTTTAAATAAATATCGCGTTTCAGTGATGATACATTTTGCAACACAAGTAACGCGATACTTTAGAGATGTGTGCATTGTAAAACAAGATTTATGCACTGCTATTAAGAGTTATATTACACGAGCGGACACTCGCAACACCTGGTTTTGTGAAATCATTTTATGTCGTTACATATTTTACACTGTACGGAGTTATAACTTCCAAGTAATTATTATTTTTTTTACAATTCAATATACATTCCACTTATTATGATTTCATTTTAAGGAAAATCATATTGTCCTATTAGAAGGTATATTTTTAATTAGTACAATTTGCATGCCAGTATTTTTTTTTCAATGAGGTTGTATATCTTTTCCATACTTTTTATTTTTTTCAAGGAAATTTCTCATTATGTCATTTCGTTATCCGTGATTGCACAAGCGTTTTCTATGACCGTTGTTATGTAAACATCATTTGGAAAATCCAGAGGAAAAGACGATTGTGTAATCCAAGTTGTACGTATACAATTTAAGTTTTAAAGTTATTTCCATTTGATATAATTACATTATGTATATAAAATGTATACATAAGAGGAATATTTCGTATATATTATAAATTGAACTGTTCTTTAAAAGTTCAACAGAATCTCTGTAGAGGAATATAGCCATACAAAGAATCTGGCCATAAATCATTTTAAGTATATCATGAGAGCAAAAAAAAAAATAACAAAACCGGTAATGAGTAAAAATTATGTTCCGCGAATCAGTAATTAGGGTTGTCCACCCAATTGACAATAACCGATGGAATTGACACAGTACGACCGCAACTTCCCTTTGCATTCATATGTTGATGACTTCTCTGAAACGATCGCAATTATATGTGCTTGAACAGTTGGGGGGGAGGCGGGGTGGAATGATACAACTACCTCCTATAATGAGAGCGTCACGCGTCGGTGACAATAATGACGGGTAAACACACTGGGATATACACTACATACATTATACTTTATATTCAAACACGAATTACTATACAGGGTGACTGGTGAATTACTATCGATACTTGAGGACGTGATATTTGACGATCATATATGACAAAATAAAAAATAATATAACATAAATATTAATAAACTTCTAAGTAAAGTTAACCAAAAGTTATGTAATTAATTAAGCATTGCGTGAACACCCTACAGATTAGGTATACACACACACACGCGTGCGGCGGCGTGGTGTTGTATCAGCACGCCGCTGCACGCGTCCACACTTGGAACACTTGGAACGTGTCCACACTTTATTTATTTATACGGAAATTTGGTCAAAAATTAAGTACCTATTTTTTTATACATAATTCGAATGAGAATCATGTACCGAGTATTCTCCTTAATTATTGATAGTAATTCACCAGTCACCCTGTATAAGGTTTAAAATCATACAGCATTAGACGAAATTATAAGCTATATATATTTATATATATGTAAGAACTTGAATTGTATACAAAATGATTCACTTCATTATAAGCTCGAACAACGTCTGCTTTTTGTTCTTTGTTGCAATTTTCAGTTTTTAAAAAGTATGAACACTACGGAGTCCGTGTCAATATGGATGCGACGGACGAAAAAACAGAATACTTCTGTCTTCACATATTATATTTAATTAATATCAAAAAAGCCTTTGAATGTTTGAAGTTTTACCCGCGTTGAGTTCAGTTATATCGCTTTTCCAAGAGAACCTTTCAAAAGTCTGGGATAAAAACTATCCTATGTTCTTTCTCAAGGTCAACTCTATCTCTGTACCAAATTTAATTAAAATCAATTCAGTTGTTTAGGCGTGAAAGCGTAACAGACAGACAGACAGTTACTTTCGCGTTTATAACATTGTGTGTATGCCAACATGTTCATTTGTGTAAGTATTATTTTATATAGCATATCCACAATAACACATCAAAGCTGAGCGTACTTTAACGACTTTTTTTCATCGGAAAGCTCAACAATTACGACACAGCGTTCTTTTGCCTGCGAGTGGCCAACTAGCCGTTACCGGTCGTATGGCGGCAACATTAATTATACAGAAGATTGTTGAACTACATGCTGGCATTTCAATTAATAACAGAAATGTAGAAATTATATGGCGAGCGTTTAAC